AGGAATAATGAAGTCAGGAACCCCAGACCAAAGGAGAGTCTGTGGTTCTGTCACTCTGAGCCATCAGAGATCTCCAGTTGGCTAATAGTAGCTGAATTCAGCAGCTTTCTACTATTACTCGGACCCAAACCCAAGCCAGGAGCTTGCAGAGTTCAGAGCAAGGAGTCAGTGATCAGACTTTTCAATGGGTCAGACCACTTGGGGAACTCTAAAAGCTCACAGGTCCTGAGCCTGAACTGTCCCTGAGATGCTGTAATGACAGCATTGGATGAATTGAATCTGGGGATCATTGTTATCTTGTTAATTCCATTGGTTGGCAGCCTGGCCCTTATTTTAAATATTTCTGGGAAAATTTCTTGAAGTCAGATTTTTCATTTTTTGAGGAGTCATTGAATGTTCCCTCCTTGCCTTATCCTCTAAATATTTCCCTTTTATTATAGCTTACAGCCATTTAACCAGTTGGGTAATTCTCTGGAGTCATTCTTCTTTCTTTCTTGTTTCGCCCATTCTATTCTCTAGTAAAATAAGCGTTTTCCATGGAGTCTATTTTTTTTATAATGTCCATATGTTTAAATAGTTCTTCTCTCTTCCATATCTTCTCCTGAGATTTCAGTCACACTCAATTCCCAATTCACTTCATTTTATGATTCCTGCTAACTTCATTTCTTCCATTAATTACTTCAATATCTTTATCATCTATTTTTATGTCTAAAAAATTCTAGGTTCATTTTTGGTGGTGGTGTTATTTCTTTTAAAATACATTTTACTTCTAGCTTTTTGATTTGACTTCTTTGAAATCCTAGACAGAGGTTTTTATTGTATTGAAATTGTATCATATTCTTTCAGTTTTCTTTTTTCCTAACAATAAACAAATAAAAAAACACAACACATTTTAGAGGATTTCTAGTAGTTTTTCTTATTTTGAACATTTTCATTGCTTTTTTCCATATGATGTTTGAGAAGACAGGGTCTTTTGTGACATAATAATAACAACAACTACCATCTATGTAGTGCTTACTATGTGCATGGCGCTGTGCCAAGGACTTTACAATTATTGTCTCATTTTATCCTCACAAAAACCCTGGAAGGTAGGTGCTATTATTATCACTCCCCATTTTGCATATGAGGAAACTGAGACAAAAAAAAAAGGCTGAGTTGCCCAGAGTCATACAGAAAGATGTCTGGTGCAGGAATTTTAACTAAGAAGATAGGAAGTGACTTGCCCAAGATCACATAGGTAATAGCGAGCTATAATTAAACCTAAGTCCTCTTGACTACAGATCTATCCTTTCCACTAGCCCCACTTTTTCTCAGCTTTATGTGTGTAGTGAGTAGAAGTGGAGCCCCATGGATAGAGAGGGGCCCACATAAGGGGAGGGGATTGTTCTTTTGTTTGGCTTGAAGAGAAACAGAATAGACATCTCTAGCTTCTTTTGTCCCCACCCTTGTCCTAGGGAGACTTTCATTTCTGCTAGGGGGTGGGGGCTAGAGGCCACCACTCTGCTCCCCTCAAAGAAAGGTGTACTAGATTAAAATTATGTCTATTTGCTCCTTTAAATAGTATTAGTTTAGGGAATATGGTCAGATTACATCTAATTCTTGATTGCTTTCTCATTTGTGGGGAAAGGGAGAGCCCAAGCTCTATATCCAAGGCTTGACCCCTTCCCTACCAGTTCCAAAATGAATATACATATCAAGTAGCAAAGAAACCCATCTGTCTAAATCATTAGTGAGATAGATATCAGAGAAGGTATATATAGGAGAATATATATCAGACAATAGGGAGTGAAGGAGCTCTCCCATTGGAAGCAAGATGGAAAAATCCCTGAAGCCTCTAAAGAAGCAAGCTGAGAATGGGGGCATGCTAGAGAATGTCAATTTCCTTCATGTCTTCTCATCATCTTTTCCCTTCAGTAACCTGAAGAGGGCTTAGCTTCTTCTATCTTCCCCTTGAAGCTAAAAGCCTACTTAATGGTCCTTGAAGACTCTGGGTTAGAGAAGCCCCAAAGAGGATTCAAAGGGTACTGAGACCTGAAACTCTTTCCTCTCATCAACTCTGCCCCACACTTCATATGGGGCAGAGGTTTCATCTCCAGTAGGAGAGAGTTCTATAGCAATGGGTTTTGGGACAGGGATTACATTCAGTTCACACTGGGAATTAATATTGAAATTCAAAATACTGTCTCAAAATACTACCCCTCAAATGAAAGGTACCAGGCACTAGGTTAGATTCACTCCCTTTAAAATGTCAACTCTTTGAGAGCAGGGTACTAGCTCTGTCCCTAGTGCCAATAATAAATGCTTAATGAATTGAGGGATGGTCCTTATTAGAACAACACTGATTCCCTGGCAAGATATTGCATATAAAATAAATAACTAATAGAACCTAAGATGTTTCATTTAAAAAATTAGGGGGAAAATACATATACTTTTTAATTTAGCCTTGATTTGTCTCATTTTTTTAAAAAAAATCAGTTGAATGATTTCACAGAAATTTGAGTGGGTTTTAGGCTTCCAGTGCAAAATTCACAACATGTCTTATATGGAAATGACACAGTAATGTCCTCTTTAGTGACTGGTTAGTGATCTCTAACCAGTCACTAACTTCTATCCTAGGCACTTTTTACTAAAAAGTAGGGGTAGGTGCCCAGAGTGTCATTCTGTTCCTGAGAGGAACACCTGAGAAGATATGGACCTAGTCCTCCTAATCTACCCTAGGCTTTGAAAAGTGTTTTATTGAGATACTTAGAGCTTTGCCACTCACAGCTTGGGCAGAATGATGCTGTGTCTCTCAGAGCTTGGCACCAGTCAGCCATCTTCACTTGATTCCCCTGGCCCTTAGGAGAATACATGGACACACAAAGTACTGGGATCAATGACTTCTAATTCAGATTGGATTTTGGTTAAATGCTTGAGATGCCACATCTATGGCAGAAATATTTTTTGAGGCATCAGAGTGCAAAGGAAGCAACATTCATTAAGCTAGCAGTCAAAAGACCATTGCCATAAATTGTTAACTGTGTGATGTTGGACAAATCACTAACCTTCTCTGAATCCTGTGCCATATTTGTGAAATAGGAATGGCAAGCTGCCCTGCCTTACTCACAGGGGAGCATGAAGATTAAATGATAAAGTATACTCTAAGCTATAAAACTCCACTATACATGTATAAGTATATATATAGTTACACATAATATACACTATCGCTATTGTTGATGAAAAAGATTCCATGAAACACAAGTTGAAGTAACTGAAAGACTTGTATGCATCTTTGAAATGGATGTATCCAAGATATAAAGACAGCTAACAGAACTATTAAAGACCAAGTGCCAGTTCCCAATAAATGGCCAAAGTTGATGGAAAAAGCAGTTGTCAAAAGAAGCACAAACTATTAACAACCATGTGAAAGATTGTACTGAAAAATGTAGGTGATGTAAAAATCAAAAGATAATAAAATTTATTTTAAAAGATGAAGTATATGTGTTAATGACTATATCTGTGTAAATGGAAAGAAAAAAAGAAGCTGAATGCTGTAATACATCAACCAACATTTATTAAGCACCTAGCAGGTGTCAGGCACTGTGCTTAGTGCTGAGGATACAAAAAGAGGCAAAAGACAGATCCTGACTTCAAGGAGTTTACAATCTAAGAGAGGAGACAACACACAAACAAATATATACAAAGCAAGCTCTATACAGGAGAAATAGGAAGTAATTAATAGACAGAAAGCACTAGAAGTAAGAGGGGTTGGGGAAGGCTTCCAGTAAAAGAATGGATTTTAGTTGGGACTTAAAGAAAGCTAGGGAGGTCAGCAGATGGAGCAAAGGAGGGAGAGTGTTCCAGGCATGCAGGGCAGCTAGAGAAAATGCTTGGAGCCAAGAGATGGAGTATCTTGCTCACGTAACAGACAAGAGGCCGGAGTCACTGGGTTAAAGAGTACATGTCAGGGAGTAAGGTGTAAGAGGACTGGAAATGTTATAAGGTCTTTGAATGCCAAATAGAACAGCTTGTATTTGATCTTGGAGGCAGTAGGAAGCCACTGGAATTTATTGAGGGGTATGTGTGACGTGATTGGATTTATGCTTTGAGAAAATCACTTTAATGGCTGAATGAAGGTTGGATTGGAGTAGGGAGAGACTTGAGGCAGGTACACCCACCAGCAGGCTATTAAAATAGTCTGGGAATGAGGTGATGAGGGCTTGCCCTACAGTAGTGGCAGTGTCAGAGCAGAGAAGGCAGTGTATGCAAGAGATGTTGCAAAGTTGAAATTGACAGGCCTTGGCAATAGATTGGATATAGGGAGTGAGAGATAGTGAGGGATCCAGGATGACCCATAAGTGCAAGCCTGATGGACTGAGAAGATGGTGTTTCTCTCTACAGTAATTGGGAAGGTAGAGTGGGTGAGGTTTAGGGGGAAAGAAAATGAGTTCAGTTTTGGACATGTTGAGTTTAAGATGTCTACTGGAAATCCAATCCAAAGTGTCTGCAAGGCAGGTGGAAATTCGAAATTGGAGGTCAGCAGAGATTTGGGAGCAGGATGGGTAGATTTGAGAATCATCAGCATAAAGATGGTATTTAAATCTATGGGAAATGACAAGATCATCAAGTGAAGTAGTATAAAGAGAGAAGAGAAGAGGGCCCAGGACAAAACCTTGAGGGGCACCTATGTTAGAGGGTGTGATCTGGAAGAAGATCCAGCAAAAGAGATAGAGAAAGATTGGTCAGATAGGTAGGAAGAGAATCATGAGAGGGTGGTATCCTAAAATTCTAGAGAGAAGAGAATATTAAGGAGGAAAGAATAATCAATAGTGTCAAAGGCTGTAAAGAGGTCAAGGAGAATGAAGACTGAGAAAAGACCATTGTATCTGGCAACTAAAAAATCATTAGTAACTTTAGAGAGACCAGTTTCAGTGGAATGATAAGGTTGGAAGCTGGATTATAAGGAGTTGAGGGAGAGGAAAGAAAGTGGAGGCATCTTTTATGAATAGTCTTTTCAAGGAATTTAGCTGCAAAAGAAAGAAGAGATATAGCAGGAATGGAAGGAGCAAATGAGGGTTTTTTCAGGAGGGGACATGGGCAGGTATTTAGGCAGCAGAGAATTAACCAGTAGAAAGGGAGACATCATTGAAAATAAGTGAAAGAGTGGGGATAATAGAGGAGACAATATGTTGGAAGAGAAGGGATAGAATGGAGTCACTTAGACAAGTAGAGGAGTTAGTTAGCCTTGGTAAGGAGTAAGGTCACTTCATCACATGAGATGAGTGGAGGAGGAAATAGTAGTAAAAGGCATCTGAATGATAGGGGATAAGGAAGAGGGAAGAAGAGGGAACTCATGGCAAATGGCCTAAGATTTGAGGAAGGAATGATGAGGTTTGGAACAGCTGCTGTGGAGAGTGGAATAGTGGGTTGATAAGGGAGCTCTAGTAGGATTGTCTAGTAGCTGTGAGGGACCAGTTGAATTGTGTAACACAAATCTGTGGTGGAGTCAGAATGGTTGCATGATTTTCTCCATCCTTGTTTGGCAGCATTTGCATAGCAGTGAAGAAGACAAATGGTGGGTGATACAAGGCTGAGACTTGGCTGGCCATAATCAGCAAAAAGGGGGCTAGGGTGGGGTAGGGTGAAGTAACAGCTTGTGGGAAGTGAGTAGGTTGAGGAACTGAGTGGTTAGGATGTTTGAGGGAGAGTAAATATGTATGTTGAAGTCCCCTGTTATGAGAGTAGGAGTTGGGGAGGAGAGAAAAACCGTGAGCCAGGTATTGAACTCAAGGAAGGGGAGTGACACTGGGAGTTGTAGACAATAGGACCAGGATTTTGATAGGATAGTAGATATGAAGTGCCTGAACATCAAAAGTCACCCAGTGATGGAGGCAGATGGAAAACCTGGAAGTGGCAATAGGGAACAAGTAGAATTCCAACTCCCCCACCCCAACCAGTGAGCCAAGGAGAATGAGTGAAGGTGCAGCCAGCCAGTACTGAAATGGTGAAAAGAGAGGTTGCGTTATCAGGGAGAAGTTTCAGTAGATGCAAGGAGTGGAAGATTTAAGATGAAAGGAAGTTTATTGTCTATTTAACAGGCATTCTAGAGGGCATAGTGGAAGGGTTAGGTGGCATTTGGTTGAAACTTTGTGGTGGGAGGGTTGAGGAGGTTGAGAATGAGTAATCAAGTGGTGGTGGTGGTTTATAAAGTTCGTATGTATAATTATAATGACCAAACTCATCCCTGAAGAGATGAGAAATTGTATTTCCTTCTCTTCACTGGAGAGATGGGGAACAATGGATGTGGAACATTGCATATACTGTCAGAACCTCTTGATGTATTGGTTAGTTTTTATTTTTATTTTTGTTATAAAAGATGGCTTGCTGCATAGGGGAAGGCCATTCAGAAATAAAGACGACGTAAAGACAAAAAATAAAATAAAATGTCTGACTTTTGTTGAGAGCTTGGCCCCTAAAGTTTATTTCTAATGTAAATGATGACTGTATATGGGGCTCACTCCCTTCCCATCCAAAAGCTCTCCTCCCTCCCAAGGGTAATACACCTCTTAAACTCTTAGAACCTGAAAGCCTTTACAACTCAATAGCCTAGCACCGACAGAAAAGATGCCTGTTTCCACTTCACTGTAAGCTAACATTTGGACCCTGTTAAAGAAGACAGAAAAGAACTGGAAGGTGCCCTCACTTTACAAAGGGATTTCAGAGTCTGAGAGGGGAAGAGGAAGTAGAATAAAGACTAGAAAATGGGAAGAATAGAGAGAATAAGGGACAATAAAATGACCGGAAGAGACAAAAATTAGAGAAATGAAAAAGGAAATGAGCTCTGGAAGGGAAGGCATGAATTCAGTCTTCATTTCTGCAAGGCATCATTCAGAGGCTGGCTGTAAGAAACAAAGCCCCTTTTCTTGCTTTCCTTGTCTCTATTTTCAGTGCAAACATGACTTAGGAAATCACAAGATGACAAAACACACTAGACACATTTTTGTTTTGTTTTGTTTTTCTTTAAAAAAAAAAGATCACTCATTTTTCTTCATTAACCTTTGGAATTAAAATAAAGTTTAAAATACCCCAAATATACAAATGCCATCTATGCGGTGCATTCTAGGAATGCTGAGGTAAGCGTCAATGCAGGGGATAATGGCATCCCTCAGTGCAACAGTCCGTACCCAAAAGATAAATCCCTTAGGAACTGTCTCAGCTCCAATCAGTTAAATGCCAAATAAATCCACAGGAAGGAAGAAGATATAGGAGGAGGTACCAGAAGGAATTCTTGCAGGAAAAACAACAACCACCAAAACAACTTCAAAAACACTGGCTCCAAACAGATTGATGGGGAAGCCTTTCTTTCCAGCAAAAGAGAAATTGAAGGCTGTCTTTTGCCTTGAAAACCCAGTGGCTTCTGCCCAATCAGACTCCAAAAATAGTTCAGAGGCTGCCGACAAAGAGCCCTTTTACCTCCCACAGCTTTTGTCTCCATAGGAGCTGGCAATGGCTTCATCCTCCCACCATTTCCCTTCTACATACACACACACACACACACACCCAGCAAGCCTCTCTCTCCTTGACTCTTGAAGGACTCAGACGGGATACCCATGGGGACCAGAGACAAAGCAGATTGGCCTTGAATAAAAAGGCATCATCAGCCGGAGGCAGGAAAGTACAGGTATGGAAAGAAAGGCTATTCCCAGAGTTCTTGTGTACAGAGAACATAGTTCATTCTCAGCATCACACAGCTGGTGTCTGACTTCGGACTGAAAAGTCAGTCCATATTTGAAAAAATACATTGTTCTCTTGTTTAAAAAAAGAGTTAAAAAAATAAGCTTGTCATCTCCTGCCGATTTAGCATCCAAATGAAGGGTTTTCCCCCAGCATTTCCAGAACATTTGTTTGCTCTTGCAAGAAGTCTACCACGCTAGATAAAACAGAAGTCAGATGTCCTGCCCTCTTACCCCCCTTTTAAGTCAGTTCTTGTCAAAAGAGGCAGGATCCCCTCAGACCTCGGGCTCTGTGCAGATCAGCAGACAAAGACCGACTCATCTGCTTGGTGGTGAGCTCAACATTTTTGGCTGCTTCCACAGCTTGGCTCAAGGACAGGCTGAGGGCATCCAGGTCAACAAGATCCATCTCAGATAAGCAGCGGTGGCCTGGAATTGGAGTTGGAGTTCGGTGACTCTGAGACAAAGGTCTCACCTTGGCAGGTTTTTTACCACTGGAGTAATATAGAGGGGAGGAAGCTGAGGTAGGTGCTACTGGAGAATAGTACCTGGGGAGATGTAAAATAAATAAGTGAATGCTAAAAACCACAAGGACCACATTGCCCATAACTTAAATGATCCCTTTCTGTTGGACCATAAATCTTGGATGAGCCAAATATAATGAAGCACAGAGTGCTTGGATTAGAAATGTCTGTGCCCCTGAACAATGAATAGAATACCCATGAACAGGACATGTTCTGTATTACATTCTTTAGTTAGAAGGGGTTCAGACAGAAGAATCAGAAGGCTTAGACCTAGGAAGTGGAAGGGTAATGATCCATTATTAACAATAAACAATAGTCCATTTTTTTGATCTTTTGAAATTGATCATTCATTTCCCATGGAGTCTCTGGACCATTTGGGTTTTTTTCCCCTCTTTCTTTTGGATTTGTGCCTAGACTGCTGCTCATTAGCCCCCTACCAGGAGAGTAGAGAGAAGAGGAGACCAAATTCTGATTTCTCAATTTAGAGAAATGTAGGATGTGGAAGGAAGCCCAGAGATCCTCGAACCTGCAGCCTTGAAGCCACATATGGCCTTCTAGGTCCTTAAGTATAGCCCTTTGACTGAATCCAAACTTCACAGAACAAATCCCCTTAATAAAAGGACTTGTTCTGTAAAACTTGGACTCAGACAAAAGGCTGCACCCAAGGACCTACAGCACCACACATGACCTCAAGGCCAGAGGTTCCCCACCCTTGCTCTAGTCCAACATGTTTGTTGGCATAGCAGGAAATACATTCAGAGAGAAGAAATGACTTGCCAAGGTCAGAGATATGGCACAGTAGAGTCAAACCAAGCTCTTTTAATCCAGTCAGACAGTAAGTCAAGTCATTCAGTCAGTGAGTCAGTGCCAGAATATTAGAGCTAGAAGGGACCATGGAAACCATGAAGTACAATTTAACAGAGAAAAAAACCGGAATCTTAAGGAGAGTAGTTAGTGTGGACTAGCTCTCAGGCATCCTCTCCAATATCCTTTTGAGAACCACATAATTTTTTTTTTGTGAGAGCCACATTATTATTGTCTCTCCAATTTAATCAAATAGTCAGTAGAAAAGAAAGTAGTTTGCATGCGGGAGTGGTGGCAAAGGTTCTTCATGAATTTTATTTGGCCCTGATCTTTAAGGATCTAGTGTGGGACCTTGAATATAGTAGATGAATGATTAGGGAAAGGCAGCATGGTAGAATGAATGCCTCAGTGTCAGGAAGACCTGGATTCATGTCCTGCCTCTGACACATACTGGCTGTGTAATCTTGGTTAAGCAACTTAACCTCACTGAGTCTCAGTTTCCTCATCTGTAAAATGGGGTTGGGCCAGGTGTAGTGGACCCCACCTGTAATCCCTTACTGCTGGGCTAGGTTGAGACTGGTGGCTTGCTTGAGCGCAGGAGTTCCGAGATGCCAATTGAGTGTTTACACTAAGTCTAACTCCAGTATGCTGAGCTCTCGGGGAAGGGAAGGGGAGTGCTTCCAGGTTGCCTAAGATGGGGCAGTTATGAATTCATATATAAAATGGAGATAACAATAGCACCTGTCCAGGTTATTGACACGTGATGATGTGAGATGATACTTGCAAATCACTCTGCAAACCTTAAAAGTGCAGCATAAATGCTGGCTATTAAAAATATATATGTATGTTTGGATAATTATTTCAATATAATTAGTTTCTTTTGCAATCTTATGTATTTTATGTTATGAATTAAAAATAGTCTTCTAAGGAGTCCACAGGCTTCACCAGACTGTTGAAGGAGTCTAGGACACAAAAAAAAGGTTAAGAACCCCTAGCCTATGTGCTACTGTCTGACCTCCCTCTTCAAAATAACTTCGTGTGTGTGTGTGTGTGTGTGTGTGTGTGTGTGTATGTATATAATATATACCTGTTGTTGTTCTTCAGGTCATTTCAATCATGTTCAAGTCTTTGAGTACTCCTTTGAGGTTTTCTTGGCAAAGATACTACAGTAGTTCCTTTTCCAGTTCATTTTACAGATGAGGAAACTGAGCAAACAGGGTTAAGTGACTTGCCCAGGGTCACACAGCTAGTAAATGACTGAGGCTGGATTTGAACTTAGGTCTTCCTGCTTCCAGGCCAACTGAACAACATCTCTGTATGACCTTGGGCAAGTCACTTAACTTCCCTAGGCCTTAGATTTTCCATCTCTGAAACGTAGCAGGAACGTAGAAAGTTCCTGCCAGCTACAAATATTGCTTCTTTTGCCATACTACGCTGCCTCTTTTTGAATTTTGTTTTGCTTTTGCGACTGGGTTTTCCTATCTCATGCAGGCTGAAGCCTGAGTGCAGGGGCCACATATGGTCCCAAACTGGGAATGCGCTGGAGCCAGACAGTAAGAGAGCCAATTATTGTCTTCAGCATCAGCATTTATACCTCAGAAATCGGCAAACCCTACAAAGCAGGATTTGATTTATCATTTTGTTCACTGTCTAGGCTTGAGAAAGCAATGGAGAAAATGTTAATAATGTACATTTAAAAGTCTGTTGCGTGTAAATTTTTAAAAAGAGAGCCAGTTGTGAAACATTTACTAGGACACTATTGGTCTGAGCCCACAGCTGATCACACAAACTAGGACCAGCTGCTCTGGGTCCTGCTTGGTTGAGTTCAGACCTCTCTAGGCTGCCTCTTTAGATGGCTGCCTGACTCCTAAGGAGAATGAGCTGATTTTTGCTTTACTGCAGCTCAGAACTCCTGAGCACAAGTGGTCCATGAGCCTTAGTCTTCCCCATGGCAGGCATTATCAGTGTGGGCCATCACACCCATTCATTCTGCATTCTGAATGGAGTTGGAATTGATGTCATAGCTAGGTCTGGATTAATGAAAATAATATATCCCCTGAAATGACTGGCATCACTTGCATTTTCATTGCCTACTTCCATTGGGCCAGGAACAATTAATTACTCATATTTTGATATAATTTCATATAACTTTGAATAGTGCAAAGTTAAATCATGTGACCACTTCACAGGATTCACTGTTTGCACTAATGAGGACCTGGATGTATGTAACATGTAGCAAAGAGGACAAAGGCATTATTGCTCTCTACTCAATAGGCCCTGCCTGAGCCTAGCAAAATTGCCAGGACATAAGAGCCCATATGCATCAGGAAGGAGAAAAGAATGGTTCTTACAATGTGGAGGATGAATAAGGCACAACAGGAACCGGTGGGACGTAAGCGAAGGTTGCCCCCACTGGAGCTGGGAGTGGGGGTGCTAGATACCACACTCCAGGAGGATAAGGAAGTGGTGGCGAAGTTGACTGCTGCTGGCGTTGCTCAGATTTCCGAGTGGGGCCAGAACTTAGAGGTGCTCCCTTCTGTATGCCCTTGTCTATCCCTGTGGGGAGGATAAGCACCAAAGATAGTTGAGCATTACCTTGCCATGAGAAGTATGACAGGAGACATGGAGATACCTGCATCAGGTTGGAGATGGGATTATTTCACCTCTAGGACATCTGCCTTCTTGACTGAGATTCTAGGGTTCTGAGATCCTAAGGCTCTAAGGGTCTTTGACAGATGAACAGTACAGGCCTCACTTGAATCACCTTAGTAGAAAGACATCAGAACCCTAAGTAGGTGATGTTCAGATGGCTCCTCTTTGGGGCTCCCTTTCTCCCTTTGGGGAACTGGGACTAGAGAGAGAATTGGGGGTGTGATTAGAGGTTTCCTACGTTCTGCTACTATTCTTTCAGTATCCTCCCAAATCTGCCTATCACCATCTTCCTTCCTCAACTCTGTTCTGCTGTACCTGTCTTGTCTGAGGGGATCTGGGTCAATAATAGTTGAGGAAATAGAGGGTGATAGGATGTGGGTGAAAGACAGCCAAAAAAGAGGCTAGGAGACATGGCTAAATCTTAATGGCGCAGCTGATACAACTTAGAAACAGAGGCTTTCATAGACCTCTGAACTCTTTCATGATCCTTATCTGATTTGGCCCCAGGAAAGATGGCACTGGATATCTTAGGGCTATACAAAAATCACTAATGCCTCCTATTGTCAGAAGATGGAACTTCAGTGCTCCAGTGCTAGAATTCCCCCCCCCCCCTTCCCCGCACACACACCACCTGAACCTAGCTCCTATGTGGTGGCTAAGACTAACAACTCTGCCCATGCCTACTTGGTCCATGACTGCTAAGAGAGGAACTCTCAGCTCTTCTCTCCCTTCTAACCCAATTTCTGTCCTGTGGTGTACAATAGTTGACTAGAGATTGACTTGTCTTTGCTAAAAAGGCTTTTTATGTTATGGAAATACAGATAAGAACCTCAAATTCAAGGTGACTTTAACATTTTTTAGGAGGGTGGAGTAAGGAATCAATCTCTATCCTACCAGAGTGCTCCTTGTCCCTCTCTGTGGGATTCCTGGGTCTGTGACACATTGGACACTGGGTCTTCTTCATGCTGTCACTGGGGAAAAGTTCCTCTGGATCCTTGCTGAGAATGTTGTCTAAAAAAATGAAAAGCAATCATTAAAGGAGCTCATGGGTCCTTGATTTACTCTCATGGAGCTCAACATAGGCAAAAGAATTGTGTCCAAAAAAAATCCCTCCTTCTGTCCTCTCCTGGTTCAGAGTTGGGGTTAGTTCTAAGGCCATGTTAGGCAAAGGACATAGTATGTTCTTGGCACCCAAAGATGTCTTGGGGTGGAGGGTAGCAAGGTTGGTGGAAGAGACAGGGCAATTAGTTTGTGCTTCAGTGGGAGTTTCTTAGTGACCTTGGCACTAAATGTTCATGGTTTCTCCATTTCATGGTTAATGGAGGCAGTTTCAGACAGAAACATCTATGGAAGAAACATTGTCCAATGAGGCACGCATTCTGCCCATCTGATAGAATGTAAGCTTCTTGAGTGCAAGAAGTTTAATTTTTGTTAATTTCATTAATTTACCCTCCCTCCCATCCCCTATCCTCACCCCCAGCACATCGCACAGTGCCTGGCAAATAACAGTTGCTTGAAATAATACTTTGTTGATTGAATGACTGATTGCCCAGATCCTAGGATAAGAGCCCCAACACTACTAATATGTACTTCTTGGTAACACAGAGAGCTCCTGAAAGTCAAAGTTAACTCTGTAGCTCTGTAGGCTGGCCTGGCCTGGGCTCATCCTGGGTAGACCCCGATAATCATCATTACCTGGAAGTTTCTTCTTCCATGAGTGACAGCGGGGGCAGAAACGAGAATTATTGTCTGCCTGGAAGCGGTAGGAGGATTTGACAGAATATTCGTGACCTAGGGATACAAATCAAAAATGGTAACTGTTTGCCACACCTTGGGAATGGGTGCAGAGCTAGAAATCAAAAGCTCCTGATAAAATCATGGTATCACTAGTGATACAAGCCCTGAGTGTGGAACAGGCTTGTCACCTGTTGATTATTGGTCAATCTGGCACTTATTTTACAATATAGAATCAAGTTGCCAGACCTGGGTCCCTGTGGTGCTGCTTTGGTTTAGAATGGCTCTTTTGCAGGGTCCCTGGCCCACTGGATCATAGATTTAGAACCATAAAAAGTACCTTTGAGGACATTCAGGAAATTGAAACTCCAAGGTCATAGCTGGGATTCAAACCCTGATCCTCTAACTCCAAACCCTTCCACCTTACCGCCACACTACCTCATGATACAGGGAACTTTCTCCCTGAGTGAACATACCTCCTTGGGTTTGCCTCAGTTTCTCGAAGTCTTCTGCTTGTTTATATTTTCCTGAAAGTCAAGAGTCACATAGAAAGAAGGAAAAGGGGAAGGAACAGAAGAGAATAAATAAAGATTTTCTTTGGTGCCACAACCTGAGGCTATGTGAGAGTCAAGGTCTTGGAGCAGAAGTGTTCAATGTGAGATTATTACAGGCATTCCAGCATTCCAGTGGGCATTCCAGCCTTCTTTCCTTCCTTCCTTTCATTTATAAAATAAGTTTCATTGATGCCTTTTGATTTTACGTCAGTCATTTCTGGATACCAACCTCTTCCTCAAACTGAATTGAAACCTCCCTTACTATAATGAAAAACAATCAAGGGAAAACAACTGATGGAGCATAAGTAACAACCTCTCAACACAGTTCCCTGCCTCTATGCCAAGAGGAGGGGTGGGGTGGGGTTGGGGGGAGAAGGGGGGGTTCTTTATCTATTTTCTCTGACCAAGACAGGTAGGACACAAATTTAATGACACATTATGATCATTTTTGTTGCATTCTATTGATATGTAAATTGTAAGCAATTCACATAAGCAACCATAATTAATATTTTTGATACAGTTTAATGGGTGTTTTTAGTTTTTTCTTCTCATTTTATTGTTAGTTCTTTAGTATCTATGATCAACAACATTAATTATTTTCACTGATACCACATACCATTTACATATTCTCTCCTCCCTTGTAGGATCTTTCTAATACTTTATCTAGACTGGCTCCCAAGGCCATGAATCAGGCTTTAGCATGTGGGATCATTTGAAATGAAGAAGATCTTGGGATACCTTCCCACCTCAGTATAATGGCTCCTTTTCGTCTCTCACCTGTGTAGTGGCCCTGGAAGTGGACTGTGTCTGTTTGCTTCCCTCTGGTTCCTCCTCTTATTCTGTCTGAGGGGCTCTGCTCCTCAGCTCTGCTCTCCTCAGCCTGGATCTTGGATATATATTGTTCTGACTGTGAAGCTGGAATGGATAGAGTCCAAAAGAACCAGAAGAAATCATCAGAGGTGTGGATAGCAAAACTCTCACTCTCACAGAAACATCGCACTGACTTCACTAGAACTCTGGCTTACCACCAGGTAAGCTGCCAGGTCCCTGTGGCCTCCAGCATCACCAGACACCCTTCAACCCACCCCTTTAGTGCAACACCAGACATGAAGGTCCCCCATGGGCCTCAAGGCAATACCAGTACAGCACCAGGTAAACAGCCAGGGCCTGCAGCCCTTGGCACAAGAAGCCTGAGACAGTGCCCCTTCGACCCTGGTAGCAGAGACTGAATTTAAAAGATGATCAAAAAACAACGGAAAAAATCTGGCCACAGAAAGTTATTATGGTGACAAGGGAAGATCGAGACACAAACTCAGAAGTGGATAGCAATGGTGAAAACACCTGTGGGCAGAGCCCCAAACAAGAATGGGAAGTGTCTCAAGCCCATAAAGAACTCATGGAAGAGCTCAAAAGGAGTTTAAAATCATATAAAAGAGGTAGAAGAAAAATTGGGAAAATAAATGAGAGTCATGCAAGAGAATTATGAAAAAAGAGTCAATAGCTTGGAAAAAGAAAACAACTCCTTAAAAAGTATACAATTGGCCAAATGGAAAAGGAAGTACGAAAGCTAACTGAAGAAATCAACTCCTTAAAAGTTAGAATTGGGCAAGTGGAAGCTAATGACTCAATAATACATCAAGAATCAATTGAACAAATTCAAAAGAGTGAAAAAATAGAAGGAAATGTAAAATACCTCATTGGAAAAGCAACGGTTCTGAAAAATAGATCCAAGAGAAACAATGTCAGAGTCCTTGGACTAACTGAAAGCCATATTCAAAAGGAGGACCTGGACAGCATCTTTCAAGGAATTATCAAGGAAAACTGCCTGATATCCTGGAACCAGAGGGCAAAATCGGCAAAAATATTTATAGCAGCCCTTTTCATGGTGGCAAAATATTGGAATCGATGGGGAAAATTCCCCATCAATTGGGGAATGGCTGAACAAGTCATGGTATATTATTGTGATGGAATACTATTGTGCTATGAGAAATGATGAGCAAGATGGTTTTAGAAAAACATGGAGAGGGGCAGCTAGGTGGTACAGTGGATAGAGCACCGGCCCTGGATTCAGGAGGACCTGAGTTCAAATCCGGCCTCAGACACATAACACTTACTAGCTGTGTGACCCTGGGCAAGTCACTTAACCCCATTGCCTAACTAAAAATTGCCTACCATTTTAGGAAGAGGGGAGGGGAGGGAGAAAACTTGGACCTCAAAATCTTGTAAAATGAATACTAAAAATTGTCTTGACATGTAATTAGGAAAAAACACTACTTGGAAATAAAAAAAACATAGCTCTCAAAGAAAATTGAAAAGGAATGTGATGTCTTAGAAAGAGCGGTGAACCCAGACTCAGAAGGCTTGAGTTCAAGTTCTGACTCCATCACTTTGAACTATGTTATCTCAGGTAATTCACACAATCTCTCTAAGCCTCAGTTTACTTATCTGTCAAAATAAGGATGTGATAGTAATGACACTACTTGCTTCTCAAGGCTGTTGTAAGAAAAGTGCTTTATAAACTGTACAATGCTCTAGAAATGTAAGATATTATTAATAAAATTACAAACCCCTTGATAGATGTACTTGAGAGGTGCAAAATAAAATGTGATGTCTGAAGAAGAGATTGGTGTTGGTCTGCTTCCCACACTTCCTTCTCTACCTAACCTTTCTTTCCATTTTTCCAAATCCCACTATTCCAAACTCTTGAGAGAGAGAGAGAGAGAGAGAGAGAGAGAGAGAGAGAGAGAGAATATTCTAATGGCACCATGTCTGAGATAGTACCCTGCTATGGAGCTGTTTCACTTTTATGGTGATACATGCCTGTGGCTGGCTGGATTAGGAATTGGGACGTATTAATATTCAAATGGGACAGCTAGGTGGCTAGGTAGATAGAGCTCCAGGCCTGGAGTCATGAAGGCCTGAGTTCAAATCCAGCCTCAGACACTTACTAGCTGTGTGATCCCTGGGCAAGTCACTTAAATGTGTTTGCCTCAGTTTCCTCATCTGTAAAATTACCTGGAAAAGGAAATGGCAAACCACACCAGTATCTTTGCCAAGAAAACACCAAATAGGGTCACTAAGAGTGAGACACAACTGAAACAAATGAACAATGTTTAAATGAAGCTAACATTCAACTTAACAAATGCACTAAGTGCCTATCGCAGACAAGGCATTGAAAGGACAAAGATTCTACATCACCAACTGAAAGTTGGACAGCTCCAACTGAATGTCCCAAAGGCACCTCAAAATTAACACGTCCAAAATATATTCCTACGCACGCAAACACCCCCCACACACACACTCACACACTCACCTGAGGGCACCACCAGCCTTCTAGGCACCCCGAGTAGAAACCTTGGAGTCTTCCCCATCTCTTCATCCTCACTCCTCATATCTAATCAGTTACTTACTAAGTCTTCCTGATTCTATCTCTGTGACATCTCCCGCATCTATCCCTTCGTCTTCAGTCACCCAGTCATTATCTTAGTTCAAGCCCTCACCATCTCTTGCCAGAACATTATGGCAGCTTTTAATTGTCTTCTCCACCTCTCGGCTCTCTTCTCTCAAATCTATCCTGCACACAACTGCAAAATCAATCATTGTAAAGGACAGGTGTGGCCATGGTGCTCCATTGCTCAAGAAACTTCAGTGGCTCCCTTTTGCTTCCAGGATAAAATATAAACTCTCATTGGCATTTAAGGCCTGTCATAATCTAGCTGTGACCCAACTTTCCAGACCAATCTCATGTTACTTCCCCTTTATGCCCTTCATTACAGTCAAACCAGATGTCTTCCTCTTCCCTGGTATATGACGTTCCATCTCATGCTTCTCTGACTCTTCCCAGGCTGGATCCTCATGCCTGGAATGCTCTTTCTCCTCACCTCTTACTCACAGAAGCCTGAGCTTCCTTCAAAGCACAACTCAGCATCCCCTTCCTATAGGAGATGTATCCTGTTCCCCACAGTTGCTAATATCTACCCCACCCCCAAATTCTCTGTATTGACCCTGCACACACTTTGCTCAAACTTATCTGGGTACATTTGCTCTCCCCTCCCCCATAGACCATAAGCTGCTTCCACTCAGAGACTTTCATTTTTGTCTTTATATTTCCAGTGTCTAGCATGATTCCTGGCACACAGTAGATATTTAACATATGCTTCCTGAAAAATGAAAAACAACACAGTCCCTACCCTTAAGGAATCAGACTGATATAGAAGAAAACGCACAGGATTTTGGAGCCCCAGGGCCAAGACTCAGATTCTTGTGTCTGTGGGTATTACTGCCTATGTGACCATGGGTAAATTATTTCTCCTTTCTGAGCCTCATTTCCTCATCTGTAAAATTCCAAAGATGCACTAGATGGGGTTTTTAAGGTCTCTTCTAGTTCTAAATACTCAATTCTAATCTAATGGGGGTAGGCAATACAACTTGTATCTAAATAAAAATGATAGAAGGCAGGATGTGATAGGAGCAAAGGAGAACTATGAGGAAAGAGATTGCTTTTAACTGGGGGGATCAGGGAGGTTTCATGGAGGAAAGTATGCCTGAGCTGGGCCTTAGAGAAAGGAAAGACCTCAATAAATGCTCATGAGAGGAAATTCGGGTGAGCACTTGGGCACCACTGGACTAATTTTTCTTCATTCTGTTCTGTGGCTACAAACAGTACCTCTGATTCCAGCCAGCATCTAACCAATATGTGCCAAGGTCATGAGAGGGACCAAACATGAAGGTGCTCTCAAATTCTCCACGATTGTAGAAAAACAATTCCAAGGGTTCCTGTCCCTTGCTTGGACATGAATATCAGTGTACCTTACCTCAGGGACCCTCATTAAGAGGCAACTTGAATAAGAGTCAGATTTTCCTCCTTCCCAAGTTGTTTCTGGTGGTAAGAAGCTATATTAGCTCTTTAGGGACAGAACTACATTTAATAAGAGCCCAATTAAGGACCATCTTTGTTGTCCCAATACAAGAATGGGGAACCTGTGGCCTTGAGGCCACATGTGACCTTCTAGATCCTTAAGTGTGGACTTCTGACTGAATCCAAATTTTACTGAATCCAAGTTTTACAGAATTTGTTCTATAAAATTTGGATTCAGTCAAAAGGCCACACTTAAGGATCTAGAAGGCCACATGTGGCCTCAAGGCTGCAGGTTCCCCAACCCTGTCCCAATACTATACCATTATCACCATCACCAGTGACATTTACACAGCATGCTAAGGTTACACACAAAGTGCTTTCCTCACAACAGTCTTGATGGGTTCATTTCTGAGCTTCACACTTTAAGAAGGACATTGATCAGGGGGATGATCTATATGTTCTAAGAAGGACAAACCAGGATGGTGAAGGACATTGGGCCCATGTCATATAGAGATAGGTTGAAGGAGCTGGAAGATGTTTAGCCTGAGGAAAAAAAGGCTGAAGGGGGATATGGTAGCTGTTTTCAAGCATTTGAAGGTCTCTCGTGTGGAATAGGGAATTGATTCATTCTGTTTTGCCCCAAAAAACAGAATCAGGAATGATGGGTAGAAGTCACAGAGGAAAATCCAGGCTTGATGTCAGAAAAAGCTTCCAAACAATGAGAGCTATCCTCAAATGGAAGGGCTGCTTCAGAGCTTAGTGGATTCCTCTTCATTGAAAGTCTTCACGTAAAGGCCACTTGTCAAGTTTGTTATGGTAGAGATTCCTTTTGGGGGGTATGGGTCACTGAGGTTCCTTGAGACTCTCAAGTTCCATGATTCTGAGATGGGCAGAGAAAATATCATCCCCATTCTACGGAGGTAGAAACAGAAGCTAAGGGAGATGGCATGAAAGCTGTAATTTGGAGTCACATTAAAGAGATGTGAATCCTGGACTCTGCTACCTACTAGGTTTGGGACCTTGGACACAAGGTCCTACTTCTCTGGGCCTCCATTTTCTCATCTGTAAAATGAAGGGGTAGGACTAGCTATTGCCTAGGGTCCTTTTTCTAGCTCTAAATCCTATAATTTTATGATGGATTAAGTGATTTGTCCAAGGCCACAAAGCCAGTAAATGTCAAGAGTTGGGGGTCTGAACCCAGTTCTCCTGACTCCAAGTCCAATGGTCCTTCCCCTAATGCCATGAGACAAACCTGCTTGAAGGACCCAGCCTGGTCCTCCAAAGGTAAAGATGCCTGGGGCTGGAGAAGCAGTTTTCCCAGATCTGTTTTCTAATTCAGATCCTGACCTTTAGAAAGTCAGCCTCAATGTGGAAATGTTTTAATTGACTTCATATATACATTGAATATCAGATTTCTTGCTTTCTCAATGTGTGAAGGGAAGGATGGAAGAGAATTTAAAACCAAAAATAATTTAAAAAAACAAAACCAAAGAAAGGCAGACTCTTCTGGAGGTCACTTACTTTGAGCTGCTTGGGCTTCCCTGGGCACAGAGGAGGATCTCAGCCGCACCCTTCCTGTGCTATTGTTTTGAGTTGTATCTCCACGGTCATTCTGGTATCTCTCTGCAGATTTACTGGTAAAAGAAAAAGATGACAATGTCAACTCCTGGGACTTTGCCAAGAAATACAATCTTTTTAAAAATTTGTTTATTTTTAGTTTTCAACATTCATTTTTATAAGATTTTGAGTTCTAAATTCCCTCCTCCCTCCCCTCCCCTCTCCCCATAATGGCATGCAATCTAATATAGGTTATACATGTACAATCATATTAAACGTAAGAAAGACAATCTTTCATAACTGATCTTGGCTATCAAATATTCCAAAGACAGTAGGATCAATAGATGGTGCCCCAACCCAAAGGAAAGGGCAGCTTCCATACAAACTCATCATCCCCTTCCTAAAAGCTGACGGCCATATTCCCCCAGGTCCCTTGTTCCTTTGTGACTATAAATCCTCAGATAACTGGGAAGATGCACTCACTTTTTTAGGTGCCTGGTGCCACGGTGGCAAGGAGACTAATGCTCTCAGTGGAGAAATAGGAAGCTAAACTCAAAGCCTGAGTTCCTCCCCTATAGTGAGCTGCATTAAGGGAGCCACAGGGAACAGAAAGAGCGAGGGGACAGCATTGTTCCACCTCTTTATCTTCTGTCCTGGTCAGGCCATGTATAGAGTATTGTGAGCTGCTCTAGTCACCCTCATCCCTCTGTCTTGGGATGAGGATCTCAAATAGATAATTGTGTTCTGTTCTGGACATCACATGTTAGGGAGGATGCTGCCAAGCTGGAGTACATTCGGAGGAGGTCAATGAGGATGCTGAGGTAACTACAGACCTTGTCATATAAGGACTGGTTAAAAGAACAAGATGTTTAAAGACAAGACTGGGGTGGAGTGGAAGACCCTGATGTTGGGAAAGATTGGAGGCGAAAGGAAAAGGAGATGGTAAAGGATGAGATGGATTGATAGTAGCATGGAAACAACAAACATGAACTTGAACAGATGGAGAAATAGTGGAGGATGGAAGAGCCTGGCATGCTGTGGTCCATGGGGTCATGACGTGTCGGACCCAGAGCAACAACAACAACAAGTATTTAAAGGGCTGTGCGTGGGAAAAGGGAATTCTATCAGCTTCAGTTGCCTCCAGTTTTGGAGCCATATGGCTTCAGTGTTGCCGATGGTAGTAGGTTCAACTTTGCAATGGCCTTTCAAAAGGAACCTAGAGGGCCACTTGTTGGGGATGTGGTAGCTAGCTGTTCAAGCTTGGGTCCAATCAGGTGACCCCTGAATCCCCATGTACACACCTGGTATGGGGACAGCTCCCCCAAAGCCAAGGGCTCTTTTGCAAGCCTGCTCCGAGCCCTGGTAGCTTGTTGGAAGTTATGACTTGAGGTGTCCCGAGGTGGGTTGTTCAAGCTGGCCTCTATCCTGTCTCGGAGTCGGGTCACTTCTTGCTGTAGGGCCCGGATAGCTTGGCTGTCATGGAAATAGAGTTGGTGAAGAGAGTGCAACAGGGGAAAGCTAAGGGGATCCTGTGATCATTTTGTGTTAGGCACTAAGGGAGGGCCTATGTCTGTTGGTCACGACATACCTGTGATTTCTAGGCATCACAGGACCATAGGTTTAGAGCCCGATGAACATCAGGGGCCACCTTAGTCCAACCTCTCCATTTTACAGATGAGGAAACTGAGGCCCAGAGAGTTTAAGTGACTTATCCAAGGTCACACAAGTAATAAGTTGAAGAGCTGGGATTTCAGCTCAGTTCATCTGACCCTTTTCTACTATACCATAGAGAGAAGAACAGGCAAAGGTCACTGAGAAAAACAGTGGTCATGCATGCAACTTGGCATCTTCCTCAGTGGACTCAAGGTGTTAAACTCGTGGTCTGCTTCTTTTCTCTTTTCTGTTTTTCCCTCACAAGAAAGAACCCACTCCAATCTCTCTAACCAGGGGCAAAGGGGGGGGTCTCCCCTGAGCCCTTCCCAATATATCAACCAGTCAGTAAGCACTGATGAAGCACTTACTGTGAGCAGATTTTGTGCTGTGAGCACTGGGGATACAAAAGGCAAAAGACAAAAACAAAAATCACAGACCCAATTTTCAAGGAGCAGACATTCTAACAGAGAGCTACTGGGCATTCTGAACAGTTGATTTTCCCATGATGCCTCTTTGCCTACCTGACAGGGACAGGAAGGTAATGCAGGTGGGGTAAGGTTCTTGATAATGAAAGGGTCTGGTTGTTATCTGTTTAGTAGAAATCTGACTGTATTTAGATCAGTTAAGGAGAATTTTCCATTGAGAAGAATTGGGTGGGGGGAGTGGTAGCTTTTCCCTTGGTCCTTTAGGGATCCTCATAGGTTAGAGGATCACATCACCTCTTTTAATTCCTTCATTTTGCAGGTGAAGAAAGTGAAGCTGAGAGGAGCATAAGTAATTTACCTAAGGTCACATATAGTGAGTGGCAGAGTAAGGATTCAAACCCAGTTTTTGATTCCAAATCCTGGGGTTTTTTTCTGTGACACCCTGCTGCTTCCACATGGATATCACAAGTGCCAGAAGGAGTGGGAAAGGAGAGTTGTTTTCAGCATCCTCCCTTGAATGATGGAGGAGGAATTCATCATAAGTGCTTCCTATCACCACCAACAGGACTGGAGAGACCAGTGGGCTGGTGCAAAGCATGAGCAGTCTGATGAGAGTAACAAAAGCTGCTCAGGAGGCTGGTAAAATGTAGACAAAACGCCCCAATGACTACCACATCCCTGCCTGCAAGGTCATCTTAATTCACCAGCTCCCCTCTTCCCATCTTCTCCTCTCCCCAGAGTCTGAATTGAAGTAGTGTTTAGTTTTCTATTATATGGGTAGCATAGGACATGGGGCTGGTGGTCACAAAACCTGAATTCTAATCCGTAACTTTGCCACGAACTTGTTCTGTGACTTCAGGAAAGGAGTTTTCACTATCTGTACCTCCTTCATCTTTTAAAATTGGGTAGGGATGGAGCTATAAAAAACTGAAATGGACTTAAGGGATCATCTAGTCCAATCACTTTTTATTCTACAGATGAAAAAAGTGAGGACCCAGAGATGGAAGCAAGCGTCCATCTAGCAAGATGGCAAGAGTCAGGATTTGAATCCTTTGAGCCTTCAAACCTGAGTTTTCTTCTCACTACACCAGATGCTATGTTCCTTCTAAATCAGATTCATTTGCTAGGAACAGAAACTTGGGCCCTCTTCTTAAGTGGGTTCCCACCCACTGGCACAGCACCCATACACACAAGACAGAGGAATCCAGGATCTTCGGAACTGTCGTGGCCATCGTCCTGAGCAATACAGGTCCTCTAAACAGTTCCCCTAACACCAGGTCAGCTCTTCTCCCAATATGGTAGCTCCTAATGCTTCTTTCCAGACCAAAAGAACAGGGAGGAGAGGCCCTTGGAGGCCTGTGTGTCTCCTGGCTCTATCGCCTTGGAGGAGTCAGAGCTTAGAACCTGCTGGGAGCAACACGTGTCTAAGGAGCCAGTTCCCTAGCAATCCCCATGGAGACATTTGTTAGGGCTACATAATCAGGAGACATATAATGAGGACACGTGTGGGCTGGGGACAGCATTCCGGCCAATTACCACTGGCTTGGCAGGAGCTCCAGGGCAGCTTAGAGCGTCTGGCTTTTTGCTTCTCAGGGTCACTGATGGGGGAAGGGATCTGGGTCAGTCAGAGAGATAAAAGAGAATTAGGACCCAGCTTTAAATTAGCCTGGCTTGTTAACCCTCTAATTCATGGTCTGTTGGACTCCCAGTTCACTACTCCAAGGATGATGGCAAATGCTGCTGGGGGTGGACACTTTAGACTCTGGGTCTTTTTGTCTAGTCTCGCCCTACACAGGAGCTCATCCTGGGAAGGATGATAATAACAGCTAGTATTTATAGAGTGCTTTAAGGTTTGCAAAGTACTTTACATATATTATCTCATTTAATCCTTATAACAACCTTGAGAGGTAGGTGCTGTTATTATCCCCATTTTACAGATGAGGAAATTGAGAAAAACAGTGGTTAAGTGACTGGCCCAGAATCACACAGCTAGCAAGTGTCTGAGGCAGGATTTGAACTAAGGTCTCCCTGCCTCTAGGTCCAGCTCTCTATCCACTATATCACCTAGCTGCCTCTGAAAGCCTCAGTTTATCTGTGAGCTATATCTTTCCATGCTCTTCTATCTTTATTCTGAGGAGTTCCTAATGGTTTGTGTGTGTCTGTGTGTGTGTGTGTGTGTGTGTGTGTGTATTTATGTATGTCATGGATCCCTTTGGCAATCTGGTGAAGCCTATGGACCCCCTCTCAAAAGGATGTTTTTAAATGTGTAAAATACATAAGAGTTATAAAGGAAACCAATTATATTGAAAGATTATGATCAATATATTGAGGGGGAAAAGTCCACAGGCCCCAGGTTAAAAATCTCTGGTAGAGAAGAAGGCATTGGAAGAGGTGACATCAAAGGACTTTTCAGGTCTAACTTTGGGGTAGGCCCTAGGTCCAACTTTGCCTCTGCCACTTACATACTAGCTCTGTGACCTTAGGCAAATTACTCACCCCCTCTGGGAATCAGTTTCCTTAGCTTCAAGATGAGGCAGTTAGATTAGCCAGGCCCTGAGATCTTTTCTACGTCCAACATTCTGTGATCTATGATCTAATAAGAGGATCTCAAAATAGAAGGATCAACAGACGGTTCATGGCAGAACATGTTTGTCTATCCTGACAACTACATACATCCCAACAGCCCAGAGAAATGTATGCCACTCGCCAAAAGCAGATAAGAAGGAAACGAATAGATAACAGTTAAAACTACTACTTATCTGAGATTTCTCAGCAGAAAGACAGTATTTGGCTAAGAACACAGCAGAGATTCTCACATAGTACAAGTGGGAGAAAAGGCAATTGAACGTTTTCTTTTCCAGACAAGGCATTCCCTTCGGGATAAGGGTAGTGGGGAATCTCAGTATCTGAAAAGCTGCACACCCTGAACTATTTCTCCTAAAAAATAAGAAACATGAATTCAAGGCAGTGATGCCTAACTTTAAAAAGCGTTGAATTGGGACTCCTGAAATCTTCCACTCACTTCCTTGTGTGACCCTGGGGCAAGGTCACTTCGGTTCTCTGGGCCTCAGTTTCCCTATCTATAAAATGGGCATACTGGACTAGATGACCTTTAGTCATCTTGCTGGCTCTACAGCTTGATCACTTAAATGGTCAGGTAGGACTCACTCTCTCACTTCCCGGGAGATGAGGTTGCCGAGTGGGTGTCGTACTGCCTCTTGAGGAGTTTCATCAGAAGGGGTGGCAGCAGGAGACTGGTCATCTTCTCTGCCATGGGAATGCTGTTCACAGGCCCTATCATGGCCCTCACCATCCAAGTCAGCTGATAAGAAATAGATACCAGGAGAGACAAGGAAGAAATTGGGTACGGTTGCAAATTAGTCTCAGGTGAGTTACTAATCTGAGAGTCAAAAAAATCTGCATGCTTGTAGATTTGGGGTCACTGTTTTGGGGAAAGGACATGCTCCATCAGAGCCTCTTGAACTAATTACCAGAGGGAGCCCAGCAATGGCCCAGTCTCCAAGGACGCGGGCTACAGGGAATTAATTCTCTCCCCTCTACCCCCACCTCCGCCTTTGCACCTTGTAATTGGGTAGTGCTATGAAGTTAAACTATCACCCAAACATTTCTTACATGCCATAAAGACTCACCCATCTTTGTACCTGGTCCCAGTTTGTGGTGGAAGCTTTTTGTCCACTTCTTTGGGGGAGTGATAGGCATTGGGTCAGACCTCTGGGCCTGGGCCCCTGATGTGCTGAGCCCAGAGGATACTCTGATGACATGCTTGTCCCTTCCTGGATGGTGGGAGGATGGAGAGTGGGGCAGACTTGACGTAGATGGCTGGGGTAATCTCCTTGGGTCACTGGTACCAAAAGACATACTGTGACATAAAGAAAAATGTGAGGCCCACTCACACTGTCCCTTTTCTTGTTTTGGGCTGAGAATGCATTATGATAGTTCATGTCTATGTGCTTTTAGCCTACATCCTCTCAAGCAAAGATATCTGGTTCACATGTTCATAAGATTTAGAGCTGGAAAGGGACCTTAGAGATCATCTTATCCAACTTCCTCATTTTGCAACTGAATACACTCCAGAGGCCAGCCAGCCAGATGCTGTGATTTACCAAGGAGATACACAGCTCTTATATGATGGAGCTTAGAATCAAACCTGGGTTCTCTTAACTAAATCTAGCCCTATTTCTAGGGTCTTCTTTCTTATATCTATTGTCTTTCCTCCTTCCACTGCACCCAATTTACTCTTCTGTGTTCTGTCCTAAGCAATCATCCCACAGCAATTATTTACACACTCCACCACCATCCCTCTAACCAACCTACCTCCCCAACACACACAGCTCTGAGTATTCCTGAGATCAGAGGCCATCCCAAGAAGAGAGGAACCATGAGAAAGGAGGCAGAAATGTGAACTGCTATACCTGGTATGGGAAAGTCGGTGCTCTGGAGTCTGGGTTAATGGAGAAACCCTGCTGCTTTCAGATCCCACAAAGCCACTGTCAGTTTCTGGGGATACTATCCGGTGATCCTGAAAAGTAACAATGGTCCCCCTTAACACTAATCATATTCTTAATCCTGCCGTGAGGAAGCTTGTCTGGAATTCTAGCCTGAACACTTCCTTGCTTGCTTTCACAGATCAGACACCTCAACTGCTATTCACAGAACCTTAGAGTTTGGACAGACTTCTGAGGTTACTTGGTTTCAATTGTGGGGAAACAGGAAATGGGCACAATTTTGCAGCAAGTTTCTCTGGTAAAGACATCATTTCTCAAATATACAGAACTGAGCCAAATTTATAAAAATATAAGCCATTCCCCAGTTGATAAATGGTCAAGGGATATGAACAGATGGTTTTCAGAAGAAGAAATCAAAGCTATCAATAGTCTCATGGGAAAAAAAATGTTCTAAATTACTGTTAGAGGAAGGCAAACATAACTTTGAGATACCAATTCATACCTATCAGATAGGCTCACATGACAGAAAAGGAAAATGACAAATGCTGGAAGGGATGTGAAAAAATTTGGACACTAGTGCACTGTTGGTGGAGTTGTGAACCGGTCCAACCATTCTGGAGAGCAATTTAGAACTATTCCCAAAGAGGTATAAAATTGTGCCTACCCTTTGACCCAGTAATGCCACTACCAGGTTCGTATCCTAAAGACACCAAAGAAAAGGGAAAAGGACCTATTTGTACAAAAATATAGCAGCTCTTTTTGTGGTGGAACTGGAAATCTAGGAGATGCCCATCAGTTGGGGAATGGCTGAACAAGTTGTGGTACATGATTGTGATGGAATATTATTGTACTATAAGAAATGATGAGCAGGATGGTTTCAGAAAAACTTGAGAAGATTTATATGAACTGATACAGAATGAAGTCAGCAGAATCAGGAGAACATTGTACACAGTAACAACAATATTACAAGGATAATCAACTATGGAAGACTTAGCTACTTTCATCAAGATAATGATCCAAAACAATTCCAAAGGACCCATGATGAAAAATGCTATCTATCTCCAGAGAGAGAACTGGTGAACTCTGAATGAAGACTGAAGCATACTTGTAAAAAATTATTTTTGTTTTATTTTGTTTGTATTTTCTTTCGCAACATGGCGAATATGGAAATATGCTTTGCAAGTCCTCACGTGTGTAATCAAAATAAAATTGTTTGCCTTCTCAAGGAGGTATAGAATTGAGGGATAGAATTTGGAACTCAAAATTTTTAAAAATGATTGTTGAAAATGTTTTTACGTGTAATTGGGAAATATTTGATGAAATAAAAATTATTTTAAAAAGAAAGGGAACATATTTCATGTCTCATTTTTAATCGTCTTCCTGATGCTGCTCAGTATTTCATCAGCCTCTCTGGCCATGTAAGCACATGGTCTTCATTATCATCACTGTCATCATCATTAGAATGAGGGGTCAAACTCCTTTCTAAATTTACATGTCATGAAACCAGACCATTTCTACCTGCCACATCAACTCTCATCACTATAGCTGGTTCCCATTTCTGAAGAGGGTGTGTGTGTGTGTGTGTGTGTGTGTGTGTGTGTGTGTGTGTGTGTTGGGTCAGATTTTATTGGTATAAGGAGTGGGCAGAAACTCCCTTTTTACCAATGTAAATCAAACTGCTCAGCATTATGCGTATTCTTAGAGAGGTTCCTGGGGCACCAAGAAGTGAATGTTGAACTCAAGAAAGGACATGGGTCACCAAGCCCTAGTGACCATGACACAGCAATACATGTGCTACATATATACCACACAAAGTTGTGAAGAAAGGTCCCTTGGTAAACCTTAAAGCGCTACAGAATTATCAATTGTTTTTAACGTGGTTATCATTCCTGTTTTACAAATGAGGGGCTGAGGATCAGAGAATGACTTGTTCAAGGTCACCCAGCTTCTAAGAATCAGAATCTGGATTCAAACCCAGGGCTCTTTCCATTGCTCTCACTATCTTCCCTGCACTACTGTTTGGCAGACGACTTCAGAAAACAGCTTGCATTGATTACCTCCCAGGCTATAAACGGAAGCCCTTTCCCTAGAAGCATTATACATCCCCCAAACACAGTCGTTACCTTGTACTGGCTCACATCAAAGTTTTTCGCCAGCTGGGAGGTACTGGTCGAATGGAAAGCTTTCTGAAGGGGCAAAGAGCCTGAAGCCCCACTGCCAGCCAGACTGGCGATGCTGCTCTGGTGAGAGGGTGGCTGCTTTTGCTCTGAGACTGGTGGGGTGATCTGGGGGGCAGGTGGGGGTGGCTGAGTCATAGGACCCTGAGGAAGCCCATCCAAGTGGTGCCCATCATTGCCCGGCGACGACTGGAGATCTAGGGGCTGGGTCGACTGGGTCTGCTCCACACACTCTCTGACAAGAAATGAAAAGCATGCATCAGCCTCGTCCTTCCTGGGGCTCCTCAGGCCCTACCCCATTTGTCTTCCCTTGTGCTTACTCCACATCTGGGGAGCGGGGAAGGGGAGCCCCTCTCGTGGTTCTAGGATCATAGATGAAGAAAAGTGCCCCAAAGAAGGCTCCAACTGAGAAGTTCCTGGTAAGGATTATGGGTCTTTAGGAAAAAAATCACTGGGCTCACATGCATATCAAGGCTACCATGGAGCTCATGAGCAAAGAATAAGATAGAGCTTTAAGGAAGTGTATGACTGGCAGAGAAGGGACACAGAGGGCTCATGAGGGATAAGAAGTGTTTCCCTGGGTGTCCATGAAATTATTCAAAGAGGCAGTGTGAAGGCTTCTTATTGTGTTGGATACACTTTCTATTTAGTATTTATGGAAATACGAGGGGCTAATTAGTATCCAGGATGATGAAATGGGGTACCCTGCCTCTGTGGAGGGAAATCACATATTCATTTAAGTGGTGAAGGAATCAGGATGTCAATCAGTGTTGAAACTGAACCTGCAGGGGCAGCTAGGTGACACAGTGGATAGAGCGGCCCTGGAGTCAGGAGGACTTGAGTTCACATCTGGCCTCAGATACATAACGCTCAATAGCTGTGTGACTTGGGACAAGTCACTTAACCCCAATTGCCTCACCAAAAAAAAAAAGAAAAAGAAAAAGAAAAAGAAAAGAAACTGGACCTGCTCCATTGCCAGGGCAGGCATCTCACAACAGAGTGGAGAGGCAGGTCAAGAATGAGGATATAGCTGAAAATGAAGGCAATGTCAAATTAATAAATGTTTTCTGAATTAGATCAGGGACAAACTTAACCTCCTTCATCACTGAGATGCCTGGATCTAATAAAGAATGAACAGCCAAGGAGCAAGTGACTTACTCAAGAGGGTTCGGGTGATTCCCTTCCTCCTGTTCCATCCTCCTTGAACTGGGTTCAAAAGCATTGGGATTCCCAGCAGTTGGCCCATCCACTTCCTGGGTGGAATCCTTCTCTTCTTGGTCTTCTTCCAACTTGACAGCATCAGGGAACAACTTGATACTGTGGTATCTATAATGGACCCAACAGAACAGGTGTGACCTTGAGTACTACCATCTGCTGCCTTGAAGCGCTCTTGGCTGGGAAACATTGCAGACGTGACCAAGAACTGGTACTCAAGATGGAGGACTAAACTCCTGGGGACTGGCCGATGAGACATCATATAGTCCACCCCCCTGCCTTCACATAGCAGTATATTAATCCATCCCAGACAGATGAGACTCCATCCTAACTTTCAAAACTTTTCAGAGAAGACTCTGTAACACAACCTATAGTTATAACAGATTCTAGTGGTAAGCGCCTATGGGACACAGACTATTTTTGTCTTTCTTTGCTTCCCCAACTCTTAGCACAGTGCCTTCTGGCACATTGATCGTTGATTCATCCCAATATTCCACTTTAATCCCTACAATTTTGGCTTAAGCGCATTCACTCTAGTCCTTACATTTTGTGGATGTGAAGAACATCTGCTCTTGATCATCTACATCAAATCCCCTCTGCGTGGATTCTATAAAACATTGATGGACTCAATCTTGGCTTCCCCAAAGCCAACAGAGCAAACCAAGTGGTACACCAAGCATCCTTCGGCAAAGATCCCCTTAGGCCCCTTCAGCAGCTCTCCCTACTATGCGCATCCTGGCCATAGGCTCTCAAGTTCACAGATCTCAAGCTGGAAAGGACCTCGAAAACCATCTACTCCAATCCCCTCATTTTACAGAAGAGAAAACTGAGGCCCAGGGAGGCTAAGTGATTTGTCTCAGTTCACAAGGCAATAAGTGTCAAAGACAGACTTGATTTTTTCCTGTTGAACCTGTATATTTTTAAATTGTTTAATTATTTTTGTCAATTAGCAAAAATCTACTTTCCCTCCTACCTTCTCCCTCCAGTGGGGGCAGGGGAGGGAAGCAAAGAAAAACAAAGTTGTTGTAAACATGCATGTATAGTCCAACAAAACAAATTCCTACACTGGTTATGTCCAAAAAATATGTCTCAATCTGCAATCTGAATCCATCACCAAAGGTGAGATGTGAACCCAGGTTATCTGACTCCAGTCAGTACTCTTTCCTTAGTCATAATGACTAATGCATTGTACCTTCCTTTGCAGAGCAAATTATAAAGCTCCAGCAGTACTATAGAGTCTGCGTTACGGTACTCTATTGCAAGCCTTTCAATCATTTTTCAGTTACGTCTGACTCTTCATGACCCCATTTGGGGTTTTCTTTTATTTATTTATTTACTTATTTAAGGCAGTTGGGGTTAAGTGACTTGCCCAGGGTCACACAGCTAGTAAATGTCAAGCGTTTGGTCTGAGGCCAGATTTGAACTGAGGTCCTCCTGACTCCACTGCACCACCTACCTGCGCCATTCATTTGGGGTTTTCTTGGCAAAGATACTGCAGTGGTTTGCCATTTCCTTCTCCGGATCATTTCACAGATGAGAAACTGAGGCAAATAGGGTAAATTACTTGCCCAGGTTCACACAACTAATAAGTGTCTGAGGCCAGATTTGAACTCAGGAAGATGAGTCTTCCTGACTTCAGGCCTGGTACTCCATTCACTGTGCCACTACTATATAGAAAATCATCCCGTTTTTATTTGTGAGGGAAATGGAGCACATGAGGCTATAGGCCAGTCCAGTGGAGTTCCCAAAAGGACTTCTCCAAACTTAAGCTTTTTCTGGTCCTCCTCCCCCACCTCCTTCCAATCCAAAAAGTCACAGGATGCCTCCTACTACACCCCATGCAGCCAAAAGAAGACGCTGTCGTGGTTCTTAAAAAAACCAATCCTTACTGGTAATTATAATAACAAAGCTCGTCCCTGAAGAAAAGATAAGAAAATGCATCTCTTTCCCTCATTTGCAGAAGTGGGGGACTACGGGTGTAGAACATCAATGAACTGTTTGTTTGTTAATGTGTTGCTTAGTTTTGTTGACCTGCCTATTATTCCCTTTCCTTTTCTCTTTTCCCCTTTTAAAAAAAAAGGATAGCTTTCCTGGGAGGGGAGAGGAAGTGACATTTTGGGGAGGGAAAATGACAAAGGCTATCAATGAAAATGAAAAATTGAAAAAAAAATTTAAATGATTCCCTACAGATTGGGTTGGGGGGAATTATGTAAATTTCCTTATTCACATCAGAGCTCAAATTAACCAGAATTTTTTTCCCTGCCCTCAACTTGCAAGAGGAATAGGAAAGGTGAACCATAAAAAAACAAACTGGTATTGGGGATTTTGTCTAAAACAATCTTCCTGAATTGAGAGGATGCCCATCAATTGGGGAATGACTGAACAAGTTGTGGTATACGAATGTAATGGGATGCTATTGTGCTATAAGAAATGATGAACAGGCTGACTTCAGAAAAACCTGGAAAGACTTGCACGGTCTGATGCTGAGTGAAGTGAGCAGAACCAGCAGAACGTTGTATACAGTAACCGCCATGTTGTACAATGACTAATATTGATAAACTTAACCCTCCCCAGCAATACAAGAATCTAAGACATCTCCAAAGGCCTCATGATGGAAAATGCTATCCACATACAAAGAAAGAACTATGGAGTTTGAATGCAGAATGAAACATACTATTTGCATTTTTTTCCTCTTCTATTGAGTTGTGGTTCCTCTTTCTGGTGGTTCCTCTTATTGGTTCTAATTCTTACTTATAACATCACTAGGAATGTATATATATAGCCTATTATCACATTGCGTGCCATCTTGGGGAGGGAGATGGATAGGGAGGGGGAGAAATATTTCAAATTCAAAAGCTTATGGAAGTGATTATTGATAATTCAAAATAAACTAATTTAAAAAACAATCTTCCTGGAGATGTTCCTAGAATTCATATGCATTCAACAGAGTCTCCTGTACCTGTTCGTCTCTACTATTAATCACTAAGAACTGATATTTAAAAAGATCCAAGCCCTGCGGGATTCCTACAATGGTCCAAGGGAAAAATGAGGCATTCTTGAGACTCTACTTATCCATACAGGAAAATGGACGCAGAATATTTTAAAGAAATATTTTCTGGGGCAGATAGGTGGCACAGTGGATATAGCACCAGCTGTGGAGTCAGGAGTTCAAATCCAGCCTCAGATACTTGACACCTACTAGCTGTGTGACCCTGGGCAAGTCACCTAACCCAGTTGCCTAGCCAAAAAAAGAAAAAAAGAAATATTTTCATAAAGGTCTGGTTTAGCACCTCAGCATATACCATTTCACCAAGCTGAATTTCTCAGTAACTACATATTATCAAGTATTGAGTCTATTCAAGGTTTTGATGTTTACCAGGTCTTTCTGTAGGTTCCCCACCTTGTTTGGACACAAAGTGGGTTGGAAGGTCTGGGGCTGGGGATTGAATGGAGCCAGGAGAGTTGGGAAGTTTCCATAAGTGGATGGGACTCTCTGACTGTACCCTGGACACTTACCGGGCCATGAGGCTCTGGAATTCCTGTTCCATTTGGAGCTGCTTGTACGGAAGTGGCTGGGGCAGTGCAGGGCTCTCATCTTCTAACTCGCTGCTGGCAGAGTTCACTTCTGTATGCGCTGCAGACAGAAAAGTGTGGCCATTCTGGATAGCTGGGCTCTGTAGGAAAGAGAGGCAAGGAGGCAGAGAGACTCCAATTAGCCCAGTGCTCTGGACAAAACAACCAATGGAGATAACTCTTCCATCCGCACCAGGAAACTCACTTATGTAACCTAGGTTATACTTATCCTAATCTTGTGAATGAGCAGCTAAGTGGCACAGTGGATAGAGCACCAGACCTGGAGTCAGGAAGACCTGAGTTCAAATCTGACCTAGATACTTCCCAGCTGTGTGACCCTGAGCAGGTCACTTAACCCTGTTTGCCTCAGTTTCCTCATCTGTAAAGTGAGCTGGAGAAAGAAATGGAAAACCACTCTAGTATCTTTGCCAAGAAAATCCCAAATGGGGGAAGAGTCAGACATAACTGAAATAGCAACAATATACTAAAGAAGACGTATTCTTTTTTAAAAAGGGGGACCAATGGCTCCCTTACTTTGTACTTGTGAAACTGATTTATAGGACTTCACATTTATCCTTAGTGAATTTCATCATCTTAGATTTGATCTGTTGCTCTAGCCTACTGAGATCTTTTGGGATTGTGATTCTATCACCCATTGTGTTGGCTTTTCAAATCTGAAGGTGACACAAAACCAGGTTGGCTAGCTACCTATGCGGGCACATGGTGCAGTGGATAGACCACCGGTCTTGGAGTCAGGAAGACCTGAATTCAAATTTGACTTCAGATACTTATCTGATCCTAGGCAAGTCACCTAACTTGTCTGCCTCAGTTTCCTCAAATGTAAAATGGGGATAATAATAGCACTTACCTTCCAGGGTTAGTGTGAAGATAAAATGTGATAATACTTGTAAAGTGCTTTAAAATGCTATGTAAATGCTAGCTATTATTTTCTGAAGCCATATATTTTTTTAAATGTTAAACATCATGGGACAAAGGGCATGGCCCTGGAATACTCCACTAGAGACCTCCTTCCAAGTTGACATCAAGCCTTTAAGAACTCTAAGAGGTATGTTAAGAACTCTAAGAGAAAGAACTGATAGAGTCTGAATGCAGATTGAAGTATACCATTTTCATTTTATTTTTTTCATGGTTTTCTCCTTTTGGTCTGTTTCTCCTTTATAACACGACTAATACAGAAATATGTTTTCCATGATTGTACATATATACCCTTTATCAAATTGCTTACCATTTTAGGGAGGGGGTAAGAAAGGGAAGGAGGGAGAAAAATTTGGACCTCAAAAATTTTTTAAATGAATATTAAAAATTACCTTTACACGTAATTGGAAAAAATAAAATGCTATCTTTAAAAATGAATTCTGAGAGGCAGCATGACACAGTGGATATGGTGTAGGTACTGAAATAAGAAAGACATGGGTTCAAATCCTACTCTGACACATTGCAGGACTACAAGCAAGTCACTTAACCTCAGTTTCCTCATCTGTAAAATGGGGATTATACCTGTTCGTATCTACTCTTCAAGTTTGTTGTGAGGCTCAAATAAAAGAATATATGCAAAGCACTGTGCAAACCTTAATGTGTCAGGCAAATATCAGCTGGTTTTTATTCCTCATTTGGACCTTTGAGTGAATAGGTGTAAGGAAACCCCCATCAGTGAAAATCAGCAACTAATCTACAATGCATAGTCTTGGAAAGTTGTTTGGGGAGTAGAGAGAAAAGACTTGAACCCAGGTCCTCCTACTCCCAAGACTGGCTCTCTATCAATGACACCATACAACCTGTGAACACAGAGTAATATGAAAAAAGATGACAAGTCTTTGGGTGCACTAATTCAACTGGCACCATCTCTACCTATGTGGGTCATTGTCTAGCCATGTCTCTCTCTCTCCTTTCCATGGGATGGCATGACAGATAAGCACAAGAAGAGCACAAAAGCATAGTAAAAGATACACTTTCACCCCTCTTTGTCTTTGTGCATTCTGCTCCCTGTGCCTGAAATATACTTCCTTCCCGTCTTTGTCCACTAAAGCTCTGATCAAACGCAGCCTCCCCCAGGAAGTCATCTCTGTTCCTCCCCTGTGCAAAATGACCTTCCCCACCGAACCCAGAGTCAGGAAGACCTGAGTTCAAATCTGGACTCAGATTATCTGAGTCTGAGTCTAGCAGTATGACCCTAAGCAAGTCACTTGACCTCTGTTTGCCTTAGCTCCTTAAGCATAAAGTGGGAACACTTAACCTTGCAGGGTCGTTGTAAGAATCAAATGAGATAGGGGCAGCTAGGTGGCACAGTAGATAGAGCACCGGCCCTGAAGTCAGGAGGACCTGAGTTCAAATCCAGGCTCAGACCAAACACTTGACACTTACTAGCTGTGTGACCCTGGGCAAGTCACTTAACCCTAATTGCCTAAAAAAAAAAAACCAAGAATCCAATGAGATAGCACAGGACCCGGCATGTAGTAGGCACAATATAATGCTAATCCCCTTCCCTTCTCTTCCTCCCATCAGGCCTTAGCCTATGGTTTTGTAACTCACTGGCACTTATTGCAAGGTACTACATATTACACTTCTCCATGTCTCTGTCTTTTAACAATAACTCAATTTTCCACAGCCCTTCAGAGTGTACAAAGGGCTTTCTGTAAAACAGCTAGACAAAGTATGAATAGTGTTTTCATTTTATAGATGAGAAAACTAAAGCTAAGAGACATTAAGTGACTTGCTCAGGATCACCAAACTAGCAAATACTGAAACTGGGATTTTAGCCAACTGGCCTCAACCCCAGTGTTCTTCCCCCTTACAATTAGTCAACAAGTGTTAAACAGTGCCAGGCACAGTGCTAAGCACTATTGTTCCAGTCATGTCTGACTATTCATGACCCTACTTGGGGTTTTCTTGGCAAAGATACTGGTGAGGTTTGCCATTTTCTTCTCCAGCTCATTTTACAGATAAGCAGACTGAGGCAAACAGGGTTAAATGACTTGCCCAGGGTCACACAGCTAGTAAGTATCTGAGGCCAAATCTGAACTCAAGTCTTCCTGACTTCAGGGCCAGTACACTATCCACTGGCAGAAATAGGCCATGCCTTCATGAGGCTCACATTCTAATCGGGAAGGAACCAAGTGAATAATTAAGTCCATGAAAGATACGCACAGAGTAGAGGAAGGGAACCTCATGGAGGAAGGTAACAGCAATGGAAGAAAGGCCTCTGCAGAAAGCAGGATTTGAGCTGAGCCTTGAAGGAAGCCAAAGAACCTAAGAGCCAGAAATGAGGAAAGAGATTATTCCAGGCATGGGGACAATCAGGGCAAAGGGACAGAGATGAGAGATGGAGAGTAGTCTGGGAGGAAGAGCATAATGTATAATTTCCCTGAGGGCAGGGCCTAGTTGGCACCACCACCAGCAGCACCCAGTACCCAGCAGGTCTTACAAGATCAACATCCAATACACGCATGCTTTTGATTTTTAGTACCCTAGAGGGTAAAACGTAGGTGTCACAGTAGAGCACCAAGCCTGGAGCCAGAAAGAATTCTCTTCCTGAGTTCAAATATGACTTCAGACACTTAGTTGTGTGACCCTAGGCAAGTCACTTAACTCCTTTTGCCTCAGTTTCCTCATCTGCAAAATGAGCTGGAGAAGGAAATGGCAAACCACTCCAGTATCTTTGCCAAGAAAACCCCAAATGGGGTCACGAAGAGTTGGACATGGCTTAAATGACTGAACAAAAGAAGATAAAATACCACCTCGTAACGGTTTCCCAGAAGAAACGACACTGTTAGGTTGGAGCCTCAAACACTACAGAGCAATCCAACTAAATCTTTAGAAAACATATTTGCCTGTAAAAAGTCAGGACTACAAAGTCTGTCTTAGCTTTACTTCTGACTCCGTGCTTCCATTAACCCTCCCTCCCCATCCCACCCCCTGTCTGCCTGTCTCTCCGTCCCTGTCTATGTCTCTGTCTATCTCTCCGTCTGTCTCTCTCTGTCCCTCTTTCTCCCCGTTGCCACCACCCTTAGCTAGGCCCTTATTATTAGTCCACTAGTTCACTAGGACAACTGTAACAGCTTTCTAAAAGGTCTTCCCTCCTCTGATCTCTCTCCCTTCTAGTCTATCCTTCACACTGCTGCCAGAATAAATTTCCTCAGGCACATACTTGGACATATCATTCCTCTTACTAAAAATCTTTAGAACCTCCTAATTGCCTCCAAAATAAAGTTCAGATCCCTTTGATCAGCATTCAAGGCCCTCTGAAATCTGGCTCCATCAGAAGTGCTTAATAAATGTCTTTTTCAATCTATTGCATTCCCCCCTTGGCTAGTCCAAGAGAACCCAAGCATGACTTAACAGTAAACACTGAGTCTGACTCAAACAGATTCTCATGAAGATCTAACACACAAAAAAGAAACAAGAAGTCTAATGTAGTTCATTCCCCAGTGGGCTCGAGGACTGCCTTCCTCCTGTAATGGGGAAAAGAGTTACCTCAGGGTAGGGGGTACAGACAGCTGGCTTGGGGGCTTGAGCTGATAGATCAGGAGACGGAGCTGGCAGGTCTGATACAGGTGAAGCTGCTGAGCTGCCATGGGACTTTTCTCCTGGAGGGGTCCTCAGGGAGAGCTGGTCAGGTCTTAAGCCATCTATCTCATCCACGAGCTCCTCAAGGCGCATTCCCAGCCGAAATATCTCTCCTTCCACTTCCCTGAAACAGGTCAAATTATGGTTATGTAGAAGAATGAAATCAGAAAGAGAAAGAGAGACAGAGAGAGAGAGATAGAAACAGAGACAGAGAGAGAAAGAGAGAGGAGACTGTTACATTCTAAAAGGGGAAGAAGATGCACTGGCTCAGGATTTTCTTCCCAATGCATTGTGGGAAATTCCCTAGACTACTGCAGTCACAGATAACATGACTACTGGATAAAAAGCTAGCCTCAAACTTAGGAAAACCTGAGTTCAAGTCCCTACCTTTGACATACATGGCTGCAGGATCCTGGGCAAGTCATTTGATCTTAATCTCTCAGTGTCCCAGGCTATCCTCTTAAGACTATAAGTGACAGAGAAGGTCTCGTATTGGTAGAGGGAGTTCCTTAAGCTGATGAAATCACAGCCCAATCCAAAACAAAAGAAAAAAGAACAACCTGTAGGGCAGACTCACCCCTGCAGAGAGAGGGACCTTGGACTAGATGCCTCTTAGCATGTATAAATCATAAAATCTATACTTAGGAGAAAAACTTAGTCTGACCTCATTTTACACATGAGGAAACTGAGACCCAGAGAAAGGAGAATGACTTGGCCCAAAGGCACAAAGTAAGTAAGTAGAAGGATGATCCCAAATTCAGTGCTCCTTACATGACTCTATGCTGGCTCTGCTTACTAAGGGGAGAAAAATCCTAGACATAGAAACATGAAGACTGACCCACCAGAAGGATAGAGATCTAATGGTCAGAAAGCAAATAAGCCAGGAAAACCCAGAGCCTCTGAGGGCGTAGTCTGGCAAGGAGCTGGGAGGTGGGGGCTGCCAGGGCACAGTGACTCCTTCCCAACAGGGACCCATCAGAACCCACTGCTTCCATTCATAAGTTCTCATATATGTAGCCAGAAAAGCAGACTGTCATTGGCTTTGGTTCTAGGCTGTTCGTTGGGCTGCCTAACTCTGTTTTAAGTGTTCCAGCCCAAGTAGCAAAAATCTACCTGTATCCTCACCAGCTAATGTGCAAGAGCAGAGGTGTTTTATGTTCACTGACACAGAACCTCAGACAGACAACAGCAGAACTACACGGTGTGCATTGGACAAATCTCTTTTTATATAGTTTGTATGAATCCTTCATAAGAACTCAATTAACACTATCTCTTGTTTCAGTCAGGGGTTTTCTGGAGCCAAATACCACTGGCTCACTAGATCTGATTGTTAAATTTTGAGCATAAGTATTTATACATTAAGAAATTAGCCAACAATACAAATCAAGGCCTGATGCAGAGGTTCACAAAGTGGACTCCTTGAAGTGATGAGGGGTCACCCCCTGGGAGTGTGGGAATGATCCAGGGAGGTGGTATTTTTTTTAGAAATGATATAAATTTCAAAAAAAAAAGTTACAGGGTTAAAGAAAGTAGATTTCCAGGGGGGCACTGAGTAATTTTTTTAAAAGGAGTTGGTAGGCCAAATAAGTTTGGGAACTCATTTGAACAACGCAGATTATACTTAAAAAGTGTGTCGTGTGTGCTTTTTTTTCCCCAGAGATCCAGTTGTTAAACATTTACCAGCACACCCCTAATTAGAGTTCTCTAGATCAGTAAGGGCACAGTTTCTCTTGTTTTACCATGGGTCTTGCTAACAAGAAAAAAAACCATCACAAAATCTTAGGGTTAGAAAGGAAACCCCCCCCCATACACACGTACATGCTCAAATAAACTCCAATGGCTCCCTGTTACTTCCAGTATCAAATAAAATCCTCTGTTTGCAATTTAAAGTTCTTCCCATCTAACTCTTTCCTACCTTTCCAGTCCCTATGCTTCACTCCTTTTCACGAATTCTGTGACCCAACAACACTGAACTACTTTCTGTCTCTCACACAAGACATTCCATCTTCTATCTCTGTCCATTTTCCCAGAATGTCTTCCATCCTTGGAATACATAATCTCAACTTCTTTGGCTTCTTTCAAGACCCAGCTCAAATTCCATGTTCTAGAGGGGGCTTTTCCCCCAGTTGATCTCTCTCAATTGTCAGTACCTTCCTCTCTCAGACTACCTTCCATCTGCTGTTTTAGTATATTTTGTATGTCACTAATTATTTACATGTTGTCTTTCTCATTAGAATGCGAGCCCCTTGAGGCAGGGATTATTTTGTGGTTCTCTGTATCCTTTACTGCTCAGCAGTGGCATATGGTACTTAATAGAACTTAATAATGCTTGTTGACTTGAAAAATAAGGCTCAGCAAGTTGGTGGTATATGACTGTGATGGTATAATACTGTGCTATATAAGAAATTACCAATAGGACAATTTCAGAAAAACCTGGAAAGACTTACATGAACTGATGCAGAGTGATATGAGCAGAACCAAGAGAACATTGTACATACTAATTGTTCATAACAACTGTAAATGACTTAGCTGTTCTGAAGGACAATTCTGAAGGACTTAAGATGAAAAATGCTGTCCACGTCCAGAGAAAGAACTGATGGAGTCAGTTTGAATATAGACTGAAGAACACTTTTGTTTTTACTTTATTTTTCTTGGGTTTTTTGGGAGGAGGGAAGTGTTTTCATTCATGATATGACTAATATGGAAATATGTTTTGTATGACCATACATGTATAAATATCAAATTGCTTGTCTTCTCAATGAGGTGGGAAGGGAGGAAGGCAGGGACAAAATCTGAACTCAAAATTAAAAAGAAAACAACAAATGTTAAAATTGTTTTTACACGTAATTGGGGAAAAAATAAAACTTTTTTTTTAAGAAAGAAAACAGGGCCCAGGGAGGAGAAGTTACATGATTTGACCAAGTCACATAGGTAATAATCATGAGAGGCAGAATTTGAACTCAGAGCCTGTAACACTGATACTGGTTGCAGATTCATTTAACCTCTCAGTGCTCCACTTACATTGTTAGAGAGAGTTCCTCCTGACGAGCTCCTCATACTGATGGAATTATAGGCCTAGAACTTACCCACATTAGCTCACTTTTCTTATTAATACTGAGTCATATAATCTTAATGTATCAAATACTTTAAAAGGATGAAAGTGTATCACTTTTTAAATATTCCACAAACTGGATTTTCTACTAAATGGATCAGGCTTCCTGTGCCACTTACTTTCCATGTTACCAACGCCCTCCCAGTTGATTATTCTGAATCACTGAAGATTAACTGCAATTTCCCTAGAACATAATTCCAAGAACTTTGGGGGCAATTTTAGGGATAAAATCCTGGCCGTGCAGATGTCATCCTGTCAGGCAATGGGTTCCCTTTCCTAACACATACCTGTTAGGATCAAATTCACCAGGAAGCACCTCAGATTCCTGGACTGTTGCACACGTCTGTGCTCTCCTCGTGCCCAGAGAAAGGATTTCTCCAAAGCATCCTGTTCTTCTTTCAGCCTCCAAAACTCCTGGAATAAAAAGAACATAGAGAGGTATGAACTTCCAGAGGCCATGGGAGCCCACAGAGTCACAGGTGAGTAGTATATGTCCCAGCAGTTAACACAGAGCTTAATATCCCCATGAGATTAATTTAGGGATAGGCAACTTGTAACAGCACAGGAAAGTGGGTTAGTCTCTAGCTTTGGGGCCTGGGATACCTGGGTTTAAATCCCATGTCTGATAGCTGGATTAATTTCACATTTCTCCCCATCATTCATTATACATTCTCCCTGCATTGCATTATTATTATATTATATATAATGTTACATATTATAATTATTACATTATATACATTATGCTCTTCTCCACAAACCAGTTTCCATCTCTAATCTCTCTGCTCTAGCACAGGCCTGTAACATACTCCCTCCAACTTGGAAATTCCCTAACTTCTTTCAAGGATCTGTTCCAGTGCTACCTTCTATACTAGGCCTTCCCTGATTCCCCTAGTTTAAGTTACTCTGTGTGTGTGTATTTTATATTTACTTCTCCATGTACACATAAGTCTCCTCACACCCCTGTGCCCACAAAGAAACTGTAAAATGCCTGAAGGCAAGAACTCTTTAGTTTTTGCCTTAGTATTCCAACACCAACCACATAGTGTTTGGAACATAGTAGGCATTTAATAATTTCATGTTGAATTTAATTGAGGTTGTCATTATTACCAAAAGTTAAAAATAAAAGGCCAGAACATGACATTACTAAGACTATTCTTAGCTTCTTTGATAAAATACCAGCCAAGCCAGTCAAATGTCAGCTAACTGGCAACCCTGAACGCAAATCAATTTTCAGTAGTATGAAGACTAGTTATAGATGTTATTCTATGCACCCGGTTGGATTTTCCAAGTTGGCACAAGTGAGTCTAGCTCCTTTATGAGGGTCAGCATGTACATTCCCCCTAGAACTCCCACTCAGCACAGGCTCTCTCTCACCACTTGAGATTTGGAGCTATTTCCCCTTCCGACCACCTCCTTTAATCCTCATCCTCATTTTCTGGAACCAGGAACTGAGAATTTTTGGTTCCCACTTCTGAAAGGTTGTAACCCCATGGCTTGAGGCCAGTCATGATACAGCTTAGGGCATAGGAGGAGGGAATATGCACAACTACAGAACAGCCTGATGCCACATAATTTGAAGATGACTTGGGCACTTAACTGCTTCCTGAAAGCTACTGTTGTGGTCCTCAAAGCCTTGGTAGGTAGGCCGGCTCTCTGGCCTTAGCTTTCCTTATTTTGACTCTTACCTGGCCACTGACTTATGAAGATACACACACACACACACACACACACACACACACACACACGAATATATACTCACAGTTTGTACATATATTCACATATATGGCCACTGACTTATGATGATTTATGTATTTATATTTAATATAACTGATGTGTATATAGATATATTTATATAGAAATATACATATAAATATATATAACACATATATAAATGCAATTTTATATCCATATTATTTGCATATAAATATAACTTTATATTTATAGACAATTGCTATATTTGTAGTGAAACATTTGTATTGATTTTAGTTATAATGTTTTATTTATATTTCTATTATTTTTGTTTGTGATATTTCTATTATTTTATTTATTGATATTTTATATTATTTTGTTGATTTGTTAATTATATGCATTTGTTAATATGTAAATATTGAAAAACATAAGTATATCATATGTCTGATATGTGAGTTTATATAAATTGGTGTATATTATATATAATTTATATCTAAGTGTAAAATTACATTTATATATTATAATAAACTAGAGGGGCAAGGGTGAGGTAAAGGCTAATTATAAATATAATAATAACAATAAATACACATATAAGACACGTATAAATACACATATATAACTCAGATTCTATAGAAAAATCCTGAAGTGAACAGAGCAGTGGCTAGTGGTACCTTGAGCTGATCCTGAGGTGCCAACCTTCCTTCTTGGACCAGTCCTTCAAAAGATTTCACCTGGAGCAAGGAAAAAATCACGTGCATCATTAGCCAATAGCTCTCAAAGATTACTCAGGGTGACAGCCTTGACCTCATCCTTTTCAAATGTTGGTTCTTAACCTCAGGGCCCCGTGCACAGTGTGTGTTCAGAGCAGGTCGTTTCCTGACTCTATTCCCTTATGTCTGTCCTCATGACATTGGGAAGCAGGCTGCTATTGGGGAAGAGGGGCACAGAAGGAATCCCCCTGGGCCTTTCTCAGGCAACTAAAGACAGCTCGGTGGGTGTGTAGGATCCTTTTTGAACCAAATTGAGTTTATTGTCATGTCTCTATGAAGGTTTTGGTGCCCTGGGGATCCTCTGGGTGAATTCCACAAAACCTCTAGGTCTTTGTTAATTCTGATCACTTGATTTTGTTTGCGGCTCATTAGAAAGAGCCCTAGATTTGTAGCCAAAAGATCTGAGGGAAAGCCTGGCTCTACTGCTAACTTCTTGTGAGACCTTAGGCAAAGCATGGCACCTCTGACAGCCTCAGTTTCCTCTTCTGTAAAATGAGGGGCTTAGACTACATCATCTCTAAGGTCCTTTCCAGCTCTAAAATCCTATGATACTATACTTTTTGAAAGGTAAGTTCTTTGATGGGAGAAACTGTTAAGTTTGATTTTTCAGGAACAAAAAAGAGCTAGAAAATTTAAAAAAATACCAGGGCTGTGAGCCAAGAGCCCGCTCCAGCTCTACAATTATCTGTGTGACCTTCAACAAGTCACTTCATTTCTTTTGGACTCAGTTTTCCTATCTGTCAAATTAAAGGATCAATTCAACCGATCTCTGAGGTTCCTCTGAATATTCCATAATTCTATAGAGTTTTTACATCTTAACTATCTTATTTTATTAAATATTTTTAAATTTACATATTAATTTTTTCATGAGTTTTATGAATGACTCTTGTTTTTAAATCACAGTCACTTCTGGATCTAGTCCCCCTGTTCGCCCACCCCTAAAATTACACACTTTGTGGCAATACAGAAAAAACAGTTAAGTGGAAAAAAAAAACCAACACACCAACCATGTCTGATAATGTAGGCAAGCTTCTGCCCCTACATGTAGTCCCTCACCTTTCAGCTATTATAATTCTCAGAGTTCAGATCACTTTTCATATTCTTTAGTTTGTTTATTTATGTTCATCTAACCTAGAGGAGAGAAAACCGATGGGAAATTTTATGATGGTGTGTAAAAATGACATGGGACTCTGAGAAAGGATGATAAGTTACTATTCCCCATCTCTAATGAGACCCCAACAAGAACAGGTGAGCTTGAATGACAACATGAAGACTTAGATTGAGGGGTGTGCTGGAGCCAGCTCTAACCTGTTTACGAGACTGTTAAATTTTCAGCGTGAGTGTTTTTATCTCAGAAATTGGCATTCACTACAAATCAGGATTTGATTTATTGTTGACTGTCCAGACTTAAGAAAGTGTTAACAATGCCGATTAAGCATAAAGTATACTTGCATACATTTCCCCCTTGTTTTTAAACATTTACCAAGTGCATCCCTTTTCAGATTAGATATAAGAAAGAAATTCCAGATATCAAATCCAGATATAAATGTCCTAGTCAGTAATCCCTCCTTCTGTGGTCTCCCTCTTTCTGAGACAGTTGGGATCTAGCCCTTCATGGGGGAAGGGGAGGAAATGGCATCTGGAAGTTCTAGAATTTGAACATTTCTGCCTTTGCTTTTGTTTTAAGCTCCTCTGTCCTTTCTGCACACACTGCATAGCTGGGACTTGGCTCACCTGTGCTAGGAACCTGACCACCTCGTTGGCCAGTGTCTGGGTCAGACGATCTCCTAGGGATGGCTCTAGCGTAGATGTACCATTGCTTTCTGTCAGTGGGCCGGGGTATGCGGCAGCAGGGGATGGAATCAGATCACCTTGAGTTGCTGATAGCTCTGGAATAGATCAATGTTGAGAGTCAAGTTCAAGGATGGAGTCTAACAGTGGCCCTTTCCATGGCAGAAACACAAACCGAAAGGCCCAACAGGCCCAGAACCTCCACAAGACCCCACTGACTACTTGAAACAGGAATGGGGGCTGAGGGAAGTGTCCTGTTCCTCCTCTATTCCCAGAGGCCAATAGTCATGGAAAATCCAAGGGACCCTAAAGCCCAGTACCCAACAGGTTTTTAAGTTGCAGGGCCCAATGGGCCTCAGCTATTCCTATCAATGCCATTGGGCTGGTCATATTAGAAACTTACAATGATATCATGCATAAAAACATAAAACAGACTTTAGTCCTATGTAATGATGGTGGTAGAATGATAGAAAAGGAAATTAGGTGATGAAGCAGAAAAGCAGTGGGGCTGGAGCCAGGAAGACCCAAATTCAAGTCTAGCCTCAGACACTTATTAGCTGTGTGATGTTGGTCAAGTCATTTAACCTTTATCTGTCTCAGTTTCCTCAGCTGTAAAATAGGGATAATAATTACACTTACCTCCTAGGGCTGTTATGAGGATCAAATGAGATAATATTTGTAAAAGTGCCTGGTATATAGTAGGCACTATATAAATGGTAGCTATTATTATTACTGCCATTATTAAGAATGCTAAGAAGCATGGTTTTCAGTTCCTTTAAGAAGCATTTTCTTAACTTTTGTACTCTAAATGTCAGATTTCTGTCCAATGACACAAGTTGATAGAGTTCCTTAAAAATATGACTCATATGTCTATGTATTTTAAGGATTACAAAGTGCCTTCCTTCCAACAACCCCTAGACCTAGTACCTATTATTATTCTACCCATTTTATAGATGTGTTAACTGGGACCCAGGGCAATCAATGACTTGTCTAGTGTCACATAGGTAGTAAGCGCTGGAGCTAGAAATCAAACCAAAGTCTCTTTGAACTGCAAAGGCCAGGTCCCAATACCACACATGTAGAGCACTATACTAGGCACCTGGGAGAAGGGTCATAGCCAAGGATTCAGAGATATCAACACAGTCCCACTCATCAGGGATCTTCTATTTTAGGACACCTTTCCCAGGTGGATGGGTCCTGTATGCAAATAATTACAATGCAATTGGTGAGCAAATTAAAATGCAGCAAAATCCAAAAAGAATATGAGAGTCCATGAAAAAAGAAATAGGTTCCCCTTCATTTCCATGGGTTTCCCTTCATTGGAAGCCTTCAAACAAAAGCTAGATGACCATTTGTCAGGTATGTTGCATGGGGAAGTCTTATTTTGGTATGAGTTAAACAAGATGGCCTCTGAAGTCTTCTGACTCTGAGATTCTGTGACGAGGAGGGCTTATCATGGAGCTAATATGAGATTTCATTGACTAAGTTAATAATAATAATAACAGTAATAATGGCTAGCATTTATATAACACTTTAAGGTTTGCAAAATGCTTTACAAATATCTCATTTATCCTCACAATAATTCTGGGAGGTAGGTTCCATTAATATACCTGTTTTGCAGTTGAGGAAACTGAGGCAGACAGCAGTTAAGTGACTTGCCCGGGGCCACACAGCTAGTGTGACACAGTCTGAGGCTGAATTTAAACGCAGATCTTCCTCACACCAGGCCTGGCACTCTATCCACTGTGCCACCTAGCTTCCCCAGAGGAATTACAGGGAGTTATAAATGGAAGACCTTGGTTTGAATTTGTGTGACCATAGGCAAGTTACTTTCCATATTTGGGCCTCAGTTTCTTTTTCTGTTAAATAATGGGCCTGGGAAAAAATAATCTCTCTCAGGTCCTTCAAGTTCTAAGTTCTATGAACCTATTAGCAGCAGAAAAGTAATTGTAATGGTATGTCACCAAGTCTGACCAAGGTCTTTGGGACTTCGGGGCCTCCTTCCTATTTTTGTGTGCCTTTAGCCCTTTCAGTGGCATCTTCTTTGTCAGATATGGAGCCTCTTCCCCTCATGACAATTCTTACTACTAGATGGATAATAGGGACATTGAGGGACAATGCAATGCAGTTAAGAATGTTAGCTTCTATAGTTCTGCCTTTTCCTCCTCCCAAACTCACCTGGGTTCAACAAAGTCTGTGATCCAGCGTTGGTGGTTGATTGCCATTCTGCCATCCTAGCCTGGGGAATGGTGAAGGACATGACCTTGGTCCCAAGGGGCATGGATCCCATATGAACACCATGGCTGGGCTTGGGCGGGTCAGAGTACAAGTTTACCTGTGAAGAAGATAGGAAGATAAGTTATATCTGGGAGAACTTAAGATCAGCAAAGGAAGCAGAAATCCAAAGGGAAATAAATGACGGCCATGTCATACATACTGGTAGTCTTAAATAACTGATTAACCCTGAAAATGGGGAGCAGCACATAACGCCATGCCTCTGGGATCAGAAGGAAAAGGAGTGCAGTGCCAAGGAAAGGACACTAGGTGGAGGCAGAAGACCAGCACTTGAATTCTGTCTCTGCTGTCAACTCGCTGGAATTAATTCCTAATGAGTTACTAATCATGAATTCATTAAAGGATCTTGGGACATCCTCTTAACCTTTCTGAGCCTCAGTTTCCTTATCTTTAAGACTTATTTCCAAGTCTCCTTATAACTAACACTCTGACCTTTTGAATACATAAGCTTGATTTTCCAAGGAAGAAAGAAGATGGGGTTTGGGCAAACCATTTTCCCCGTCTGAATCTCAGTTTCCCCATCTATAAAATGGGGTGGTATCTATTTAAAATGCCTACTTCCTAGGTCACTTCTGAGGAACATTGTTGTTGTTATTGCTCAGTTGTTGTCAGTCCTATTCTTTGTGACCTCATGGACCAGAGCACTCCAGGCCCTTCTACCCCCCACTATCTCTTGAAGTCTAAGTTCATGTTCATTGTTTCCATGACACTATCTCTCCATCTCATCCTCTGCTGCCCCTTTTTCCTTTTACCTTCAATCTTTGCCAACATCAAGGTTTGTTGTTTTGTTTTTTTTAATAATGATTCCTGTCTCCTCATTATGTGGCCAAAGTATTTAAACTTCAACTTCAGTATTTGACCTTGCAGTGAATAGCTTGAATTTCTGAATATCGACTGATTTGATCCCCTTGCTCTCCAAGGGACTCCCAAAAGTCTTCTCCAGCACCATAATTCAAAAAAGTCTATTCTATGGTGCTCAACTTTCCCTACAATCCAACCCTCACATACATCACTACTAGAAAAATCATGGCATTGACTACATGGACTTTTGTCAGCAAGGAGATATAAAGACCAAATGAGATGGAGAAATGCCGTGGTATAATGATTGAGTCAGGATGACCTAGATTCAAACTTTGCCTCCAATACTTATTGTCTGACCATACACAAGTCATTTCCCTTCTCCGTAGCTCAGTTTCTTCATCTATACAATGGCATAATATCTACCTCAAAGAGCCATTGTATATCTCAGCTTTATAAACCTTTAGACACTATATAAAAGCATTTATTATCATTATTGTTCTTAATGGCTATAAAGTACTTTGTAAACCGTCAGGTACAATATAAAAAGTTAGCTAGCATCGCCATCAATATATGAGGAGCTTCCATATGATAATGTAACTGCTTTTTTTCCCCTCAAGCATAGTAAAGCTTAGATATCAAAACTAATGCTGTTGCCTTCAAACTGTTCCTCTTGGGAACCTATACACTTATTCCAAAGTGGCTACCATTGCTCAAGACATTGGGGAACTCTTCTTTGGAAATGACCTTTACAGCCCATGACAACCTTGAATGGCCCAAATGATGTCCCATCTTCCCACTTTGAGGGTCGATCTAATCCTGAGAATCAGCCAAAAGGCATTCACAATAGCATCAGGGGAATGAGGTAAGTAATTTACCTTGGGCTGTGTCACATAAGGCCTAAAACAGGGTAGCAAAAAATAATAGGCCTACCATGCTGCATGTGTCAATTGGATTTAAAAGCAGCCCTCAAAGATGAGTCCAGATGTGTTTGGAGCAATAGTATCCCCGCTGAGATAAACATTTGTTGTTCGGTCATTTTTCAGTTGTGTCTACCTGTTCCTGACTCCATTTGGGGTTTCCTTGGCAAAGATACTGGAGTGGTTTTCCATTTCCTTCTCCAGCTCATTTTACAGATGAGCAAACTGAGGCAAACAAGGTTAAGTGACTTGCCCAGGGTCACACAGCTAGTAAGTATCTGAGGCCTGATTTGAACTCAGGAAGATGTGTCTTCTTGACTCCAGGCTCAGCACTCCATCTACTGTACCACTTTGCTGCTCTATGAAAATAAGCACAGAGCTTACCAAGAAGACTGCTTGAAGAAGATACTCCTTTGGATACATAAATTCTGGACCCTAAGATTGGAACCAGCAAGGGCCTGATATTTCATCCAGACCAGCTCCCTTGTTGTACAGATATACATTGTACAGATGGGGAAGCTGGAAGCCAAACATATGACTTGTCCAAAGCCATGCAGGTGGCAGGACCAGGACTTAAATCCAGGTCTTCCAACTGCAAATCCAGTACTCTTTTCAAAGCACCATATTCATCTGTTTGTTCAAAAACAAACCCCAAAGGGACCAGTCTTTTTGCTTGTCTACCTGTGTCAGGACACGGACCATAGACTTTGGACCCGCTTTGCTAATGTTGAGGAAGGGAGCACCCCACAAAGGCAGCCTGTCTTGTGGCAGAGGCCCTGTTTAAGCTTCTCTTCACGTTCCTCTGGAAAGCCTATTCCAAAGTGGTATAGATCATTAGAGCTGCTTGGCTCCCCTCTCACTCCCCCTTTGTGGGGCCTGATGGAGAACAAAGCTGGATTTTAATAATCTCCTCCGCCATCTGTTCACCCTCCCTCTTTCTGTGAGACCAGTCGCCCCACACTTCTTCTGGTGATCCTGGGCTACCCAAGGGGCAGTTCCCGCTGCAAAGCTTTGTCTTCTCTATTTGTGGTAACACGAATCTCTAGGGATTCTGAATAGGATAGAGGAGAGGGATGTGGGACTGGAGGATGTGGGGCCCTGGACCATTTCTTCAGCATCCCTTATCCTTGTGCTCCTTTAGTCCTGTGCTAAGCAAGGAGAAGGAAGTGTCTCCCTCTCTTCTCCAGCCCCACCATGCTGATGTAAAGAATCTGGGAAGTGACTAACAAATTGTACAGAAACCAGGGCTCTTCAGTCCCCCATCCCCCATCCCTTGTCTGGTTCATCAAAAAGAAAGGCTTCATGTGGAAGAGAAAAAAAACACACTGGATTCAAATGAAAAGAATTAAAAGGGGGAGAGGTAGAGGTGTGGGGGAGAGATCTGAGGAGCTCACACATCTGTGTTCCTGAACAGCTGCCTCCTTTTGAAAGTGGGACTCACTAGTGGGTCTGGGCTATGCCCTGCGAGCAGGGAGCAATAAGAAGCCATATAAACTGAGTGAAAATTTGGAACATTTACAGCAGTGGGTTCTCCCCAGGAGCCGCATCTGGCATTTGAGAGACTTAGAAAGTTAGAAGGGTCACTGATACCATAATCAGGAAGACAAGACAACTGATGTGTACATTAGAAAGGCAGCAGCTGTTGCAAATAACCCTGACAAGGGCATCAGCCTCTTTTTTTCCTTCCTTCCTCTCTTTCTTTCTTTCTTTCTTTCTTTCCTTTCTTCCTTTCTTCCTTCCTTTCTTTCTTTCTCCTCCTCCTCTCTTTTGTTCTTTCATTCTTTCTTTCTCCCTTCCTACTCCTTTCTTTTCTTTCTTTCTTCCTTTCATCCTTTTCTTTCTTCTTTCTTTCCTCCTCTTTCTTTCCTTGCTTCTTTCTTTTTCTCTCTCCCTTCCCCCCTCCTTCTCTTCTTTCTTCTCTCTGTCTGTCTGTCTCTCTCTCTCTCTCTCTCTCTCTTCCTTTCTGTCTCTCCCTCCCCCCTTCCTCCCATCACAAGGGCTACTTATTGGCCCAAACCCATTCTGATCAACCACAGGCGTTTTGACCTGCTTTGTTTCCAGTTTGGGCTGGCTTATCTCTCCTTAGGACACTTGGTGGCCCTTGCTCCTTGGGGCTCATCATATTACTGCAGATGCTGGATTGGCTTACTCCACTGCAGCTGAAAACTTGAGCTTGAAAGGTCCAACAGTTCAACCTCCCTAGTAGCTGGGCTTACTGAGTCACTACACCCTGCCTCTCACCCATTCTTAGCTTGCTTATAAAACCGAAGCTAGCCCAGACTGCTGGGCTGGTATTTTTAAACAGGCCCTCATACTGCAGAGCTAATTATATTATCAGAAAGAGAGCAAAATGAAACCTTTGTGTGGTTTGGAAAAAGAAAAGGTTCTGGAGAGTTATTTGGATGGGAATTCTCTGTGTGTCTAAACTTGTGTTTCTACTAAATATGTCTCTGGAGATTCTCATGCAGCAGACTGTACTGCAAGTGACTGGAGTTCTCCAGATACAACATATATGAAAGAGCTTTGTGATGGTAACTCTGTCATAAGGTTCATAGTGGACCATGGCATCTTTACTTAGGCCTTCTGGGTCTTTCCTTATGCTCTCAGATGTGCCTGTGTCAAAGATTGCAGGACCACACATTTCATAAATTAATTCTGATAGCTAGAAGTATTGTCATTTCATTATAGACTCCCTACACCTTCATTTCGTGCAGTTTTTCAAGCATAAGTAAATATCACCCCAGTGGTTCATGCTATATCTCCCTATCTCAAGACATTGTCACAGGGAAAGCCTTTTGCAGACCTTGAAGCACCATGTGCATATAAATTATTCCTATGGTTATTTCACTTCTTTTCTTCTACTTGGATCTTTCTTGTTGACTTAGTTTCCCTGCACATAGGACAAGAGGAGGATGACATGTAGAGCTAGAATGGTGGAAACAATAGGAAAGACACAGCTTGGAGAACACTGATTCTCAGTGACACTTGATGTGATTGAGAGGAGATAGGCCAGAGCTGACGAGAGATGCCAGAGAATTCCTCTTGGTCCTGTCCTCAGGACCACTAAACAATTCATCTCAGTTTTGGGGAGGTGAGGCCTCTTTCCCTAATGGAACACTGAACTAGGAAGTTGCTCATTGGGACCTCCAGGAAAGCAATGTATCCTAAGAACCCTTGGGCCTTCAAATTACACCATGCTCTCTACTTGCAAACCTCCAAGTTTACAAGGTGCTTTCCCATGCATGTCTCATTTGATTCTCAAAATAGGCAGGACAGCTCTTCTTATCTTCATCAGAGAGGATGAAGATAGCTTCCTATGATCCTCAGATGAGGAAACAGAGCGAGACCCGAAGTTTTAAGCAACTGGCCCAAGTCAGTTGTGAAGGGCGGGACAGGAACCCAGGTCTCTGGCATCCTCTTGTAGCAATCTTCCTATGACCCTACCCTGTCCCTTGGTCTAATCTTGCCTCACCCTCATTCACACGTTTCAAAGGGTCGGATGCTTTAGAAGCAAAATGGAACAAGTGGGAGTAACCAGGGAGAAAAAGAAAGGTCGGTGCTCCTGTCTGGATTCAAGCAATGGGTCACATGAGGGTAGGTGCATAAGGGAGAGGCCTGAACTTCAGCTACGACAGGCAGAGCACATGGGCTGGAAATAGCGACAGGCCTCAGCTCCTGCCTATGTCTGTAGCCCCGAATTAGAGAGTAAGTAGCTGAGGGGATAAAGGCAGGAAGCTGTAAGAGGTTACAACAGAGCTCAGTTTCCTCCCTCTAGCTTTAGTTCCTTAGCCGCAGTGAAGTAAAACCCAGAAAGAGGAAGCACCAAAATGCAGGCTGCAAACCTGCACTTGAGAGGGAGAGGTGGGGGCAGGGGGGATTTGCTCAGCCTGCCAGGCAATGCCACATAGAATCATAGGATTTCAAGCAGAAGGGACCCTCGCTTCACAGATGATTAAAGGAAGGCCAAGGAAGCTCCATGACTTGCCCAGAGTCACACAAGTCCCTAAGCAATTGAGTCAGATTTGAACTAGCTTCTCTGACATCAACTCCAACTCTTATGTGCTCGTTCTCCAGCCTAATTCCCAAAGCACTTTTCACTGTTGTTATTTGATCTCACAGAGTTCTCAGACAACCATGTGAGAGAGGGGTGGGTACATATTATTATCTGCTTTACATTCAGAGAAATGAAGTGACTGATGAGTTAGTAGCAAAGCTGGGATGAGAACCCAGGCTTGCTGGATCACAATTCATTGTTCTTTCTAGTAGGCAGCTGGGTGGTTCAGTGGATAGAGCACTAAACCAGGAGTCAGGAAGACCTGAGTTGAAATCCATCCTCAGGTGACTTAACTGCTATCTGCCTCAGTTTCCTAGCTATACAATGGGGACAATAATAGCACCTACCTTAGAGGATCAGATGAGATATTTGTAAAACACTTTGCAAATCTTCAGGTGCTATAGAAACAATGGTCACCATCATACCACACTACCTGCTCAGATTTAGAGAAGCAATACCCTTTCTGAGAGCAGACTTGCACTAGGCAGGTCACTTTCCTCTCTAAAGAATCAGTGATGCTCCCTGTGCTTGGATCAGCCGTGGTCAACAATGATCTCAATTCAGTACCTTGGCTCCTAGCCGCAGCTGGTCAATGGTGTTCTCAGCCTCTGCATATTTGGTGAGCAGTCTGTGGTAGTCCTCCTGCGGGGAAAGGCAACACAGTTGGACATCTATTAGCCTGGGCATCAAATGGAATAGCCATGTGACGGGATTCTGTCTCTTACATCACCTTAGAATGATGCTCCCTGAGTAATTACACAATAAATGGCACACCAAGGCCATGCTAATGGATACTGACCATCCCCCAATTCTTTAAATTTCACTGTGGTTTCATTTGCACGAAGAGTTTCCAGTAAGGAACTCCTACCCAAGCAGACTGGCTTCCACTCTGCAATTTATGGTCTCAGATTGCTGACTGGGACATTGAGAGATGAAATGATCTGCCCACAGTCACACAGACATGATAATATGAGTTAGAGACAGTACCTGAATCCAGGTCTTTCTGACACAAAGGTCACTTCTCTACTGCTCTCAATTACGAAATAATGCTTTAGCCATTCCTCACCATTTGTTTTTCCTTCTGTTTATTTCATTTGTTTAGTGGTTGTAAAATGGGTCCCATGGGAACCAAATGAACACATACCCAAATGGCTGTGATTGGATCTCAAGTTAAATGTTAACTGTTTCAAGTCATGATCATTAAGTAACATGTACGTATCCAATTTATAATGTTTGTACTTATGTTGGAGTCATGGAAGGGTAGAGATGGAAGGAACCCGAGAGGTGCCTTCCACTCAGCCTCAGACCTTCACGTCAAGGGCAGGCAAGCATGGGGACCCTGAGATTCCTCTGGCAATGGAGCTGCCTCGCAGTGACCAGGGAGCCAGAAGTGGTTTACCTGCAACTGCTGTACTAGTTCTGTTGCCTGCTGAGGTGTCTTGAATTCCTTGGGCACTTTGGCCCCAGCGTAGGAAGGAAGAGAAGCTTTCTGAGGGGAGTTGTCCCCACTGCTGAGCAGTACCTCCCGGACAATCTCAGCAGGGGACTTGAAGACCAGAGGTCTCGTGGGACCTTGGGACTGCCTGGAGTGGTTCTTTCCCTTGGGAGGGTGGTAGCTCTCTTCAGCTTTAGGAAACCGTACTCTGGGCTCCACCTTGGAGAAATCAGGCAATGGGTAGTTCAGCTGCCCCCGGCCATACTTGGAGACTTCAGAGGGGGAGTGGGCAGGCACATTGACCCCTTTCTTGGGAGCCCCGGATAGGTTCAGCCTCTTTGGGGTGCTCCTCTTTGGGGGGCTGAAGAGGCAGAACGAACCACTGAATTGTGAACGAAGCGCTGCAGGGGATGGCTTCTTTGACTTTTGAATTTGGTCCAAGGGCTGGGTTCCTCCCCACCGAAAAGGAGAATTGGACTCCTCCCTCCCAAATTTACTGTGGGGCATCTGGGTTTTAGAATTGGGCAAGTCCTGAGAGGTTGCAGACCCTGTGTGGTTGACAGCTCCCATAAGGCTACCAGGCTTCTCTTCATAAGAAGCATCAGAGTTCATTTTGCCATTAGCACTTGGGGTATGCTGCAGTTCCTCTGGGGACAAAGAGCTTAGGAAGTGACTCTGAAAGGATTCAGTTGGGGTAATTCTTGGATGGCTATCACCCAAAGATGAAGCTGCCTCTGATTCTGAGGGGTACTCTGAGCTGTCACCAAACCGACCAATACTCTCAGGAATGCTGTCTGCTGATCCCACGGAACCTGGTCTCAGGTTATGCCCAGTGGGGGCATTGATGGGTAGTTCAAGCTGTCACCAGACTGACCGATACTCTCAGAAATGCTGTCTGCTGATCCCACAGAACCTGGTCTTGGGTAATGCCCAGTGGGGGTATTGGTGGGGTACAGGATAAAGTCATATTGGCCTGAGACCTTGTCCTCCTCTTGGCTATAACGCGACCCTTCAGATTCATGCTGAGCCTCTTCCAGACTTGTGGGGCTGATGCTGTAGTCAGAGCTGAACCGGCGCTTATACACACGCTGCAGGCAGCCTCTACTGGGGCACTCAGTTCTCTGCGATTCTAGGAAATCCCTGGTGTCTCTGCGAAGTCCATCTTCAGCCATGTCCTGCTGATGGTCTTGCTGAGGGGACCCATAAAGAGAAGAGGTGGAATTTCCTTGGCTCTCTACATCCAGTTCATTTTCATCATCTGGAATAACAGTAATGACATGCATTATCAGAGTGTTTTAAGGTTTACAAAATGTTTCCCTTACAATGGCCCTGTAAGGTAGGCAGCGTGAGTACTATTATTCCCATTTTACAGATGAGGAAACTGAGTCTGAGAAAGAGGTTAAGGGTCTTTCCCTGACTTATAAGTGGTATTAGAGCCAGGACATGAAAAGAGGTCTTCTTATCCCAAGTTTAGTGTTATGACTAAACTGCCTTGCTGCACTGGGCCTCAGTTTTCTCCTCCAGAAAGTGAAGATAATGAGGCAACCCCTCAGCATATAACAAGATATTCTTGGTGAATGGCTGTAGACCATTAAAAATAGAGGAAACCTAAGACATTAATGCATCGAAGTCCCTCACTTTAAAGACAAGGAAACTAAAGCCCAGAAAAAAATATGACTTGCCTATGGGTTACATAGCCACTTAGTTAGAGCCAAGAGGCTTCACCTTTCAGGTTAAGAAGTTAATGGCACTGAACTGGCCATATTTGGTATAGTGATGAAAGAGGCCCAGAAAAGGAACAGAGTGGGCAAGGGAGGTCACTAGGGTCTCTTCATTTCAATGGTGTCACTCTAGGCTTAGAGGGGGGTGCCGTGACTTTTCTTCTCAGCACCGTTCCTTCAAGGGAGACATAATGAAAGAGGAATTTTGATGCCTACAAAGAAACCTCCCTTCGAGAAAAATTCAATATATGAAAATATTTATTTACCTAATAACAATAACTGATTTTTTTTTTGCTGTGTTTCAAAGCTTATGAGTGCTTTACATACACAGTTTCATTTGAGGCTTCTATCACCCAGGGTTGTGCTAGAACCAGTTTGTATTGACTCTCAAAAGCTGATTGTTAAATTTTTAGTGTGAACATTTATACCTTGGAAATCAGAAAATGCTACACATCAGGTTGGACTTCTTGTCTTGTTGGTCGTCTAGACTTAAGAAAGTGATGGAGAAAATGTTAATAATAATGCAAAGGAAACTTAAAATTGTGTTGCACATATATTTTTTTGAGAGCTAGCTGCTAAAACATTTACCAGTATACTTCTGCCAATACCTCACTGAGGCAGGTACTACAGATAATAATATCCCCAACAGGCTCAGAGAGATTAAGTGATTTGCCTGGGGCCACACAGCTAGTGTCAGAGGAAGTTATCTAAACCCAAGTTGTCCTGATTCCAAGCCCATAGCTCACTCATTCAGGGATCTCTTAAGGAATCCTATGATTAACACCATTCCTAGGGAGCTGGAGCAGTGGCGACTGGATGGCAGATGCCTTTGCTTACAGAGTAGTCACTGGCATATCTTTCTCCTTAAAGTAAAGAAAACAAAACCCCTAACTACCTAAAAGAAAAAAAAATATTTTAAGTAGAGAACTAAATCGTGAGACATAAGGACAAGAGACAGGAGATTTGGATAGGGATAGCATGGGAACTTGACAGGTACTGGAGGTATGATTTCCCTGGAATAGGGAACTCTCAAGTAAGGAAACTCCTTCTACCAATTCAGGCTGGCACCTTTTTTCTGCCATTTATATCTTATAGAGTTGCCTAGAGCACTAACAGTTCAAGTGACTCGCCCAGAGTCACAAAACTTGTATGTGTCAGAGGTAGGATTTGAACCCAAGTCTTCCCAGACCCAAGGCCAGCTCTCTAACCATTATGCAGCCCAGAAATAGAAGCAATGTAAATCTTGGGCAAATGAAAGGCAGTTCTAGTTTGCTCAGTAAGAAGTCAATTTATAGAACCCAATTATCTCCATTCAGTTCAACAAATATTTATTAAATGTGCAGGGTACCTGCCCACATACAAGGCAGTAGGAGCTGGAGAGACACTCAGCATGCTCTGTCCCTCAAAGAGCTTACATTCTTCTGCAGGGGATGCGACATATGAAGAGAAGTAAATACAAAGTAGAAACGAAAGACAGCTGGGCATAGTAGACAGAGAGTCGGCCTACGAGGAATGATGACCCAGGTTCAAGATCTACCTTAGACGTAGGCTGACTGTGTTACTCTGAGCAAGTTACTTAGTCTCTTGGCGTTCTAGGCAGCCCTTTAAAACTACAAGTTACCAAAAGAGTTGCTAGTCTACACTGGCAGAAGGAGATCCCTATTTCAATGAAAATCGCAGATCTGGACCAAAACCAAAAGTGATTTCAAGAGGGAGAGAGAGCTCTAGGTGGGGGCATAAAGAAAGGCCTTGGAGAGGAGACGGCTTTTTAAGCTGTGCTTTTCCACCACCCAAGAGGTGGAATTATAAAATGTTAGCAATAGAAGAGACCCAAGTATGTAGAATTATGAAACATCAGGCCTGGAAAGAGGCCTTCAGAATCTTCTCATCGGGTACTTCCCACCCCAAATTATACCTTGGATAGCAAAATGTTTAAATTCTCTACCGAAGATTCTCCCACCTTTCACAGGTAAGTGACTTGGAGCTGCTCAGGGACTGGGAGCTATCAAGGAGAGAAGGTCATGGGTGGGCATGGTAGGGCCAGAGTGGGAAAAGTAAGAATTTTTTAAAAATTCAGTAATTTTAAGAATTAAGGATTTTTGAGAGCAAAAAGTCTTGTGTATCCATACAACTTTGTCATCATCAGAGTAATAGCTAACATCTATACAGCACTTTAAGGTTTGCGAAGCACTTTACATAATCTCATTTGATCTTCACCACAATCCATTTTGCAGATGAGGAAACTGAGGCTGAGAGAGGTTAAATAACTTAGCCAGAGGCACACAGGAAGTATGTATCTGAGGTGCAAGTGGAATCTCAGGTGTTCCTGACTCCATATCCAACTGTTTCCACTATACCATTTTCATGGCCATCATGGACTTGTACCAATTCATGGAACTGGAAGTTTAAGAAACCCTGGTGTGGCCCAGACTCCTCATTTTACAGGTGGGAAAACTGAGGCCTAGAGTAGGGAAGGCATCCATCACCCATGGTTCCAAGATGGCAAATCTGGCATTAGAAACTAGACTTCAGGGGTGGGGAACCCGTGCTTGAGGCCACATGTGGCCTTCTACGTCCTTGGGTGTGGCCTTTGACTGAGTCCAAGTTTGACGGAACAAATCCTTTTATTGAGGGGGTTTGTTCTTCAAAGTTTGGATTCAGTCACATGGCTGCACTTGAGGACCTAGAGGGTCACATATGGCCTTGAGGCTGCAGGTTCCCCACCTCTGAGTCCTAGCTTTTCCAAACTCCCAGGCTCTTTCCCCTACAGCATGCTCTTTTTCAAAACTCCTTGAAGAATAAAATAAACAAAAGAAAAAGAGAGAAGAAGGTGAGTTGAGAGCAAGAAAGGGAATGATGAAAGGGAGTAAACACAAGGCTGAACCTAAGTAGCCTAAAGGCCTCACACTTTTCTGGGCCTTCTTCCTGCCAGGTAGGCTCTCCCTGGTATCAAGTTCTTCCCTCCTGGGGCCGGCCTGAAAATGGTCACAGGAGGCAGCTGCAAGTGTGGATCAGCTCCCAGGACTGACTTTATCACTCTCCACTTGGAGCAGCTGAAGACACAGACTCCTCTGTCACGGGCCATGACGTCAGTTGAGAGTATTCAGTGGCCAAATGGCTTTTATTCTATCATTTTCAGATGCTGTGGAAGGCAGTGTTGGAGAGCTCCAGGCAGGAATCCTAACTGTACAAACCCTGCTCCAAAGATCAGACTACTTAATTCCCCAATCCCAGACCACCACTGGAACTTGCTGCAAGGGAGCTTAAAGACCAGCTAGTCCAGTGGTTCTCAAAGTATACTAGAGGAACCCTGACAGTCCCCAAGATCCTTTCAGGGGGTCCTCAATGTCAAGGCTATTTTCATAATAATAACATGTTTTAATTTCTAATTTGGTAATTATTGATAGATATAACCATACAAACAAAAGCTCTTGGGGAAGGCCAAAAAGTTTAAGAACTACTGGTCTAATCTGACTCCTTTACTTTAAAGATAGAGAGAAATCCCCTGAGAAGTGAGGTGACTTTTCCACTCCTGCAAGCTGAGTCAGTCTGAGAACAGGGGGTTTGGAGGCATGGGCCCCCTTTTTTGACTCTCAGTCCAGTACTCTCTCACTATTCCACAATGTCTCCAGACATACCCTTTGAAAGATTTTGTTCTGCCTTTAATGAGGGAATCTCTAAGATATTAAGGAGTAAAATGGGGTGAGGAAAGAGAAAGACCTTGAGAGAAACTGTATGCAGGGAAGAAAGGGTTAAGTCTGCAGCCAGGGTAGAGAGCTGAGATCTTAGATTCAGAGCTTGAAGGCATCTGAAAGGTCACTGTTTCCTCATTTTATGGATGAGGAAACTGAGGCCCAGAAGGTATAAATAATTTGTCCGTAAGTATCAGAGCCAGGGTTCAGACTCAGGTCCTCTGATTCCACGTACAGCTCTCCTTCCATGGCACCTTCCTGCTGGTGCTGGAGCTCAGCACCTCTCTGTCATTTGGCCTTTCCTGGTATCTGCAGTATTTAGCACAGTGTCTGTAAGTGCTTAGAAATAAATGCTTCCTGGCAGTTGGCCTGGCTTTCCTCCCAGCCCCCTTAAGAGGCAGCCTGCCTGTAGCCCAAGTCACACACTAGCTTCTCAGGCCCTGCAGCTCCCTGGAGACCCCTTTCTCTCCAGAAATAGTTGTGTACTGACCTTTCTCAACTCTCATAATCATGAGCCCTGCCCAGCCTCCAAGTACCCATAAAGCTGAATGAATTCAAATGTTCTATCTGAAAACATCTAGAGCAGTGGTAGGGAACCGTGCTGCCTCAAGACCACATGTGGCTCTCTAGGTCCTCAAGTGCTGCCCTTTGATTGAATTGGATTCCTCTTAATAAAAGGATTTGTTCTGTGAAACTTGGACGCAGTCAAAAGGCTGCACCCAAGGACCTTGAAGGCCACATGTGGCCTGGATGCTGCAGGTCCCCCACCCCTGCACCTAGAGCATCAAATTGGCCCAGCATCTTAACATGGGTGTGACTGACAGGAGCACTCAGTCTACAAAGAC